ATGAAAGATTGAGACTAGGATTTGTTGAAAAATTACAATGTAAACATGGATATAGCAAACCTATTTGTATTCTATAAAGACCATTCACCAATTAGTTTGGTTGATGTTCACAACATGCGAAAAATAGATTAACTTCATTTCGGCCAACTTACCAAGGCAACATGGTTCATTAATCAATATCAACATCATTTTTCAAACAATCAAAGGACTGCCCATCACTTGTCTTTATACATGCCGTTGATTGTAAATTTGTTGTAGCTATAAGTATATAACCAAAGACCAAATTTGGCACCAATGTCAATGCTTTGAATGGACAAATCCCAAAGGCAAAATAACTCAAGCTTTAATATTCTATATAATGCAATTGTTTTGTTCAACTATCTAGCTAACAACATTTTTGAAGACCCAACTACTAAGCTAACAATATCATGTGGAAATATCAATACTGCACAGATTTTTGTTTCTATTGTCATGCATTGAATTTCAAAAAATAAATAAAAATACATAAACATACCCATAAAATAAAATTGTTGGAAAAGAACCTAAAGTAAAACCAATCTTGGTGGCCTATGTAACTTGATGTAAATTTCTATATATATATATATATATAAAAAAAAAAAAAACATTCGGAACTTCAGTCCCGAACACACAAATATTTCGGAAATCAATTACTGAAATTATTGCATTTATTCGGAACAACAGAAGCGGAAAAATAGAATATATTAGGCAAGCAAAGTATGAAATTATGTATTTTGTTCGGACCTAATTTGTCAAAATTATACATATTATTCGGTGACTAAGTTCCGACTTAAACAAATGAATTCGGACACCCAGTGCCGAGATCTCCACAGCAAACACAGCAAGGGAAAAATTGATGCTTTTACGCCAATGGCGTGAAGAGATATCCGAAAATGGTCAATGTAATAACAAAATGATAAATGTAATAATAAAATGAAAAGATTTCTTACCTTAAACAAGGTTTTCAATAGTGTTTAGTAGAGATTCAATGGAGCTCTTCAAAGTCTTCAATGGCGATGAGGAAAGTGCAAAGTTTTTTTTTTTTTTTTTTTTCCTGTTTGAACGAAGTCTTTTTTTTTTTGTTTGAACCAAGTCACTTTGGTGCAAAGTGGGTGGAACTAGAAATGTGAATTAGGATCGATTAAAGTGTATGTATTTGAGACTGAAGTGTGTGCACTATGTTATGAGTGAAGGATTTAATTGTAATTTCAAGGATGTGGATTGAGAAAATTAGTTAATAATTAAATTAATAGGGATGTGTATTGAGAAAAGATTTGCCTTGAGTTAATTAGGTGGGTGGAAATAGAATTTCCCGATAATGCACGTTCAATCAGTTCACCATTTTCAACAAAATATGCCCCTTCAATTTAGTGTGTTTACTAAGGCAGTACTGACTTTCAATTTACTAGTATGAAATATCCCACCTAAAAAAATATATATACTATTTTAGTATTATTATGAAATATATATATATATTTTTAAATTAAATAAACTATTTTAAATTTTAAGATACCAAACCAAACCAAACCAAATCAAATCAGGTCTTAAGTTCCATCAAATGAGATCGGCTACATGAATCTTTCTTCTTTACACGGCTTTATTAAAGACCATTTCGTTATTCAAATTAAAAAGTAGACTCATATCTCTATTTACAAAGCTAGCTAACGTTAATTTAGGCCTACCCAATCCCCTAACATTACCATCCACCGTCACTGCATCGCACCATTTCACTACTGTCTCTGTTGGTCTCCGTTCAATATGACTAAACTATCTCAATAGATTCTCTCTCAACTTATCTTCTATCGACACTACTCCTACCTATTGCTGAATACACTTATTCCTAATTCTGTATCTTCTAGTCTTACCATACATCCACCTTAACATCCTCATCTCAGCAACATGGAAGAGGGGTTGCTGTGCATCCTAAACGACACCATAATGTTGCGTTTTGTTGTAAGCGTTGCAAAGTCACTGTCCACCTAAGGGGAAAGCATTGATTATGCTAATAGTATTTTTTATTTCATTTTTTCTCTTGCTTATTTTAGTTAATAGGGTTGGGTCAGTATATTAGGCGAGTTGGCATTTTCAAGCTACCATCCGCGCCGACCCGTCATTCCTAGAACTCCCACCTACCCAATCTGCCCGCCAAAGTTGAAAAATGCAAAGCTTGGTGTGATAGTACGATTCAATACGATTTTAGAGGTATTGCGCACAGTCCTAAATAGGACATATACTTGACTTACAAAAATTACTTTCATAATATCAAAATGATATAATCAAGTAGTATCATTTTGTAATGTAAGAATGTAAATCATATTAAGTGGAGTTCAATATCATTTATATTAGGGCGAATTACATTAATGGTTCTTATAATTTGGGACTTGTGTCATTTTGGTCCCAGACTTTTCAATTGTGACAGATTTGATCCTGAATTTTGAATTTGTTCCAAATAAAAATAATTAAAGATATCATTACTTATTTTTAAGGGCAAAATTGTCAATTTGATAAAATATAAACTAATTTGACGAAAATAAATATTAAAAAAATATTTTTAAATTTAAAAAAATTATTTCTACCTACTAAAGATAAAATTATGTAAAATTGATAAATCTCCTAGACATTTATTTATTTATTAAATTGATTTTTATTATATGTTTGGATGATGATTATGTAATAGGTGGTTATTTTTATTTTCATTAAATTAGTTTTTATTTTTCTAAAAGTCAAATTTGACGACAACTTTGACATCATTACTATACCAATCCATTAAATTAAAAAATTCAAAAGTAAAAACATTTCATATATCAAATATATCGATTACACGTTAAAATCCTAACAACCACTCATTATATGATTATCATCTAAACACATAATAAAAATTAATTTGGTAAAATAAAAAAATGTCTAAAAGATTTATCAATTTTACATATTTTAACTTTGGTGGGTAGAAATAATTTTAAAAAAATTTAAAATATTTTTTTGACATTTATTTTTGTCAAATTAGTTTATATTTTATCAAATTGACGATTTTGCTCTTAAAATTATGCAATGATATCTTCAATTATCCTTATTTGGAACAAGATTCAAAATTTATAGTCAAATGCATTACAATTAAAAAGTTAAGGACCAAAGTGATATGAATCCCAAAATATAAGAACTATTAGTGTAATTCACTCTTTTTGTTATCACATTCCTTTACTAACAACTAATTCCTATTAATGTATATCTAGGGGTGTAAGTGGTTTAGTTCGGTATGAACTAAGGAATATAGTTTTGTAAATACCTTTATCTTTAGCTTTTAGAGTAAATTATTAATAGGTTCTAATAGTTGAATTTAATTCACTTCAAGTTCTATTGAAAACAAGTTCAAGTAAAATCTTCGCTAAAAATAATTTTTTGTGATAATTTTTTACAGATGTCGCTAAAAATTGACAATTAGTGATTTTTTTTTGTCACAATTTTATAAATTGTTGTTAAAACTTACAATTAGTAACGTTTTTCTGTAACAAAATTTTCAAATTGTTACTAAAATTGAAAATTAGTGACTTTTTTAGTGACAATTTTTTTAAACTATCGCTAAAACTTATAATTAGTGACATTTTTTATGACAAAATTTTCAAACTATCGCTAAAAACTAACAATAGTGACATTTTTTTAATAGTATTTGATGAAAAATATCATTAATTATCATAGAACTTATTAGATAATAAGTTCACCTATTAAGACCTGTACGTAAGTCTCTCTAACTTTTATTAAAAAAAACATATATTATTGATCACTTATCGTGTAATACTCAATGAATTAAAAGAGACTAATATTTAAATAAAATATTTCAGTTGGTTCGTTTTATACTGGTATAAATTCTTTTAAAATCAAAATAGACCAAAAACTAAATTTTCAATCCGTCTTAAGCGGTTGGTTTAGTTCTATTGATTTTTCATATAGTATATATAATGTGTGACAAAAAAAAATTGGTCAAAATGTCAATTTATTTTGAGAATTGTTTTTATTGCCATCCCAAATTAATTTTGATTTTGACTTAAATTTTTATTTTATTTATCACACTATTTATCAGCAGAGCTTAGTTGTTATTAAAGAAATGAGATACCACAAAGTTTGTTAATCTCTATTGAATTTGAACCAACAATCTCACATCATAAAACAAAATTACAAAATCACTTAACCAAAAATTTTGATTCTATCATTTTGATCTAAGAATTTCTTTTATTTTTTATTTTTATTTTTTTTAACTAAAACAAACAAAAGAAAAAAAAAGAATTTAAAAGCATTAAAGCTTGCCCATTAGAAGGACAATAGCTGTGAATGTTTACAAGAAAATGCACCAATGTAGTGTCGTTTAAGAGCACAGCAAATTCTGCTGTGTGCAGCAAGTACCTCATTCCCAAGCAACACCCATCTTATCTACAATTTTTTTTTTTTTAAAAAAAAAAAAACACTATGAAAAAAACTACTTGAAATTTATACAGCTTTAAGAAATTGTATTTTAAATATTTTTTAATAAATAACTTTGTGCACTTGATTGAAGGCGGCATACCTCATTTTTGTTTTACGTTTTTATTTTAAAAAATAATCCTATAATTCAAATACAATGACATGAAAAGAAAATTTTTACCTAATTAAATTCATGATAAATGAGATTGACACATTACATATCATTGCTTGAACATATCATTGAGGGTTGAATAATATACTTAAATGGAAAATCTTAATCTTTTTCCTTTTTAAAAATCACAAAACACTTGTTCAATGAATTGTTTTCTGTCGAAAAAAAGAAGCAATCCACTTTTTTTTTAAAACCCCCCAAAAAATATAATAATACTCTAATTTTGAAACACAATTTTTCGCACAAAATAAAAGGGACTGATTTTTAAACATTTATAAGCATGATATCAAATCTTTCCTTCACTGTGGCATCATCACTTCTTGAGTCCCCCCAAATCAGAGTAAAAAATGATCCGAAGAGAATTGAACTTCACATCCATATAAAATTTAGATGAGTTACCAATAAGACCTCATACACAACATTTTTAGTTTCTGCAACATGCTGCTGAAAAAATAACAGATCTAGACACCCAACATTCAACACACCAACAAGAAGCAAAGACGAAGACGGCAATCTGGGAGAACTTATTTTGGGTTTTCCTTGAAATTATATTCACAGAATGAAGACGCAAAAGCTTTCGACGAAAATGGCTACAAGAAGAAATGAGAGTGCCAATATACATACAATGACATCCTATTGCTATCAGAAAGGGAAGTCCTGGGCCTCATGTCAAGGACTCCTAACATGTACCAACTGGATCGTTAATGCAAACTCACCAGCATATCACACGTCGTTGCAAGGCTATAACTAGAGTAGCTAATTACACACTACTCTTTGGTGACCCTTCTTCAAAATATGGCTCGAGTGAAGAAAGAAAAAAAAAAAAACTGAGGCAACTACTTTGGCCCATAAGCAGGAGAGAGGTACAACTCGTTGGAGGAGTTGACTAATGTCTAATATTAGTCTCCACCAGTTCCTTCTTGACTGACTTCGCTTCTTTTCGCCCCATCACCTACGTCGTGCTGAATTTGAGTGGTGATGGGCCTTGCTATCATTATGTATCCTATCAGCATACATGGGAAGGCGAATAATCTCGTGAATCTCGTTCAACAAGACGTCCTCCGTGATATTGTCCCTTATGCTTCGCATCACCTGTTTCAATCCAGAGAGCACATTCATTCAGTCAGTCAAATAGTGTCAAAGTGATTTGAAAAGCCAACCAGACAACTATGGCAGCAAGGTACAACCTTCTTGTAGGTATTGAAATCATTTGGGGTTGCTTTATCTGTCCTGATGCGCATGCAGACCCATACATCTTTCTCTGAATCCCAAGAACATTCGACAATCTTCCCCGAGTATGAGGCAGGATCAGAATCATCTGCAAATCGTAACTCAATAAATCAAGGGAATGCATGACAAAATTAGAAACAAAGAACCCAGAAAAGCACCCAAAAGAAATTATAACAATAGTAGCCAGAGCATCAGAATGGAAATGAAAAAATCAAGCTCCAAAATACTTATATAAACTCATTGTCCGCAAAAGCTAACTACAAGCACTAATTGTAAATGTAGATTTTGGAAGTCTAATACACTGACTAGACGCTTGCATAATGCTTTATAGATTGAAGAGAGGACTTCTATTGAAGCCACAAGCAACACAAACAAGAACTATAAATATCTACAGAAACATATCCCACAATCAAATATGCAGCTACAAAATGTCAAATTCACTACAAAAATGAAAACAATGAAGACCATTTTTCTTTTATCTTAACATTTCAATAAATAAATCTCATATTTATCTTAACATCTTTGGTGCTACTGTTCTGGCCACATCAATGTACATTCACATACTATTTTAAATAAAACGAAAGGTTTACACCAACGAGCTATCAAATTCAAGATGCTCCAACAGTGCCAAAAGGTCCTACTGTTGACGTGAAGAAGATGAAAAAGAAATGGAAGATATCAAACAGAGAAGAAATCCACCAACCATTAAATACAACCCTGTTCCCTTCCATCAGCTTCTTCTTCCCTCGTTCATGCAAGAAAAGTAGCTGGTCGTTGTCAACCATCTGTCAAGACAAGTAGGCATATACAGCAAAAAAACAGTTCAACTAATGGGGGACATATAAGTTACTGAAAGAAATCAGTTATAAGTTGAGAACAGAACCTCAAACAGAAAGTCAACCGAGTTCATTTCGGGATATTTCCACTTTAAGAGACCTTCATGTGTTCGGGGAATATAAGGATCATCCCAGCCCTGAAAAACAGAGACCATCTGTAACCAACAATGCACACAACAGCAGTAGCAGACCAAAGTTTAGACCAGAGGAGGCACGGCCCCCAATGGCTTTCAAAATTTTCCTTAGATGTTGTGTTCTGACCAACGCCTGCACTCTGCAAAGAGATTATGGTTTCTTTATTTATTTATTTATTTTGCTGCTTGTCGTCTTTATTAATTTGTGACAAGAAGATCAAAGAGAAAATGATGTTTTAGATCAAGTTGTCATATATAATAATTTAAGTTGTACGTGATATTGATGCAATCAATACCAGCTTGCAACACAATACATATAGGATTTTGAGTGGCATATAAAAATGTACAGGTGGCCGTAGTGTTTGATTTATACAGGTGGCCATAGTGTTGGGGTCTCTGATGCTCTTCTTTATCTCACAGATTGTTAACAGTGAGCTTTTCCCAAACAATAAATTAAAGACGAAGTCAAAGATATGCCTTGCGAGAACTACTTATTTTTGCACCACAGACAAGGACAAAAACACAGCTTGATAATATAAACAAGCTACTTGGAAACTATCTCAACCAGCACATTGATTGGAGCCTATATGCTACAATTTATTTTTACTAGCTTATAATTTTCCATATTTTTATGTATTTTTATATATTTTAAATGTTTGTACAAATATTAGTGTAAATAATACATTTTAGATATTATATTGTATTTATTATAAAATAAATTAAACAGAAAAAGGAAAGAAAAAAAAAACAAAAAAGAAATCAAAAGAGGGTGTCGGCAAGCAGCCGCCCTCAATTTACATATAATATAATATATATTATTATATTATTAAATTTATATTATAATTCTTGTTTGTTCTTGCAGATATTTGCCTATAAAAGGAGCTCAAGTGCAAGAGCAGAAGGGGAGGCCAGCTCAGAAGGCCAAGAGGAGAGAAAGAAAAGAAAGGAAGAGTGAGAAAATTTAGAGTGTACTTATTTTATAGTGATTGTTATAGGAGTATGAGTAGCTAATTTCTATATCTTAAGGTTAAGATGAAACTCTGATCAAGTGATTGGGGTAGTTTGTATTTAGTTTTGTAGAATCTTAATTGATTTGGGTACTGTTGTATAACTCAATTTTTATGCAAATAATGTTTTATCAAATTATGTGTTCATTTGGTTGTGAATACATGTTATACAAATGATTTTCATACTTATGTAATAAAATTGTTAAATAAGTTATACCTAATAAGACAGGTCGTACATCAAAGGTGACGGTCCGTGCTAAGCAAAGATGATTCGTGACTTTCTGATTTTAAAACACAAACCTTTTTAAGTGATTTGTCCTGACTGTTAGAATTTCCCATCTTTACCTTCACCTACTCCACTACACACTCCACTTCACCTACCTCCACTTCACCACACACTCCACTTCAACTCCACCAAACCTACCTCCACCACTCACTCCTCACCTACTCCAGAATCATCTCCTATATAATAGGAATTCTTGTACAAAATATATACACAACAATCTTGTAATATATCAATCAATAATACATCAATTTTAACATGGTATCAGAGCAGGTTTAGAACCTAGTATTTCCGCTTCACCGGCGGGCGGCAGCCTCGCCTTGGCCGCCCGCCGGACCTCTACACATACATTCACTCTGCTACTAACAAATTCCATGGCAGAACTTCACCTTGAAGACACAGAGCATCTGAGCTGAAAACAAAAAACAACACATATTTTATCACCTTTATCACCATCTCCGATCTCTGACCTGAGTTGAGCCACCACGACAACCAACTCCGCTATGTCGGTGGCACCCGCATCGTCGCCGTGCACCGCCACACCACCTTGGATCATCTTCTTGGCCTCTTGGGCAAACCTCTCTCTTGGATATCACACAAAAACACAACCCGATTCCACCACATCGGCTCTCCAAGCCTTCTCAGCCGCCTTAGCTCTCTCCTCAATCCTCATCTCCGCGGCTCTCATCCCGCCGGCTTCAGCCGCCATCGCCGGCTTGACTCCATGCAAGGACTCAAAGCAGTTCGCTAAGCACACAGCAGCTGAAGCAGCTGGAGTCGTTACTTGGACACCTGCGGCTGCAAACTTCTCCTGAGAAATCCAGACAACTTTGCACTTGCAGCCCTACCTCGTTCTAGACACTGAAGATAATCATCCACTGACATTAACTGAGGTTGTGGTATTTGAATTGACAGTCAAAAGACAGATACTTTGCGAAGTCCTTTTGAGGATCATCTCATACTCCTTCTCTGGTTTCCCAATCTGCCCAGTTTTGGGCTTCCAAACAACTTCAATGCAAGCCTTTTCAGGGTTTTCATTCTTCTTGGTTCCTGCTTTCGGCCCGTATACTGCAGCAATAACTTTCGTTTCCCCTTGAGACCAAGTGGCAGAGCCATGAGCACGATTGAGTGTGTTATGAGAACAAGCGAGCGGTCTCAATTGGTTCGGTGTGCGACCATCCACTCTATCTACTTCCACCTTCTCTCCCACCAACCACTGTCTTTTGCAGTTTCAACAGTTACACAGTTTGAGAGAGAGAGAGAGAGAGAGAATGAACAATAGTTAAATGGAGATAGTGTAGATTGATTCAGAAGGAGATAACAGACAGCCCGACACCGACCCACTTTCATCATATCTCTCGGCTGAACCACATGGGGGGCACTCACTCTTCTCTCTCACTTTTCACCCTCTCTTTCCTTTCTTTTTATTTTAATCTTCCCATTCCCTTTTCTCCTTATTATTCTATCCCCTTTTCCATTCTCCATCCAAAACCATTATCACACATCCACCGCCCACATCCCCCACTTTCTTTATACCTATCTTTTCTTTTATTTTATTATATATATATTTATATTAAAATAATCCATCATAACATCACACCCCTGGTTCCATTTATATATATATATTAAAATAATCAATCATAACATCACACCCTGTGCTGGTTCCACCCATATGGGCTTGTCCCCTCTTATTATTATTATTATTATTTATATATATTGATTTAAAAAAAAAAAAAAAAAACAAAAAACAAAAAACAAAAAAAACCGGCAGACGACGAACTTGCATAATACACTCATTTTATTCATATCAGGATCAACTCCGATCACCATTTTTACAAAAACAAAAAAAAAAAAAAAAAAAAAAAAATCCACAGGCGGAATTTTTCTCCTCTACTCTACTGCAGGTCTCTTCTTTTTGCCTCCGTCCTGGGCAGTCCTTGCCAGTGTTGCCTCCGTGTTTCCCACTCCACTGGGCATGCTCACTCCCCCATACTCCTCCACTGCAGCATATGGCGGACCTCCAAATCGGAACATCACGGTGGCCTTCCGCTTCAGCTCCTTGTTTTCCGTCTTTAGCACGCTTATCTCTGCTCGCGCATCCTTATACATGCGTTGGAGCAGAGCCAGTTAGGTTTAAATGCTGCACCTCATTTGTCCTACTCTGCAGCCGGTTCGACAAGTTTGTTACCGCCGTCATGCTTTCCACACATGCCTTCAAAGTATACTGATTCGCCTCCACATCCGTTTGCACTGCCATTTTTTGCTCCACCGACTGCATCGGAAAATTCAACGGAGCAAACCCAGTGTTGTTTGGTTGAGGTTCACGGGACACCGCACCAGTTATCTCTCTTGTGGACTCGTTGAGGTCGGGAAAGAGAGTAAGCAGAGGGCGGACGAAGAGGCCATTTTCTCAGACAACAGAGTGTTACAGAATACCTCTCTCAGAAACTCTCAGAATATCTCTCGCAAGTTTTTTCTCCGCCTCAGCCTCAGCCTCAGCCTTCGTCTTAATAGCCGAGGCAGCCACGCGCATCGCGCGCCTCTTACCACCAGCCGACAAACGGGCGCGCCAACCAAGGCACTCACGTGCCTCGCCATGATGAATCCGGCACACCTTTTGATGAATTGGGCTCGCCTTTTGATGGCACGCCTTTTGAAAAATTGAGCGCACCTTTTGAGGATGCTATTTTTTATGGGTCCGACAAGACTCTGTAAACTGTCCGACATTGATTCCGGTTAGCTCCTTTATGGGTCCGGCAAGACTCTGTAAACTGTCCCGACATTGATTCGGTTAGTTTCTACAAGGTCCAGCAAGACTCCGTAAACTGTCACAACATTGTCTTCTACAAACGGTCCGACATGACCCCATAAACTGTCTTCTACAACGTCCGACTGACCCCATAAACTGTCTTCTACATCGGTCTGACACCACCATACAGTGTCCTCTACAACGTTATGACACCCCATACAGTGTCTTCACCAACGGTCTGACACGACCATACAGTGTCTCCTATCCTTTTTTATTTTTATGTATTTTCTTGTTTTGTTTCTCTTCTCCAAACTCAAGTTGGTTAGTTTCTCTCCTCCTTGAGTTTGCGGGGGGCTGTTAGAATTTCCCATCTTTACCTTCACCTACTCCACTACACACTCCACTTCACCTACCTCCACTTCACCACACACTCCACTTCACCTAACCCACTATCACCTCCACTACACCTACTACCACATTTTCTTCTATATATAGATTGTATAGGAATTGTAATTATAAAATCTTGTATCAGATATCAATCAATAATATACATCAATATTTTAACACTGACCAAGATACATCGTAATACCCTTCTCAATAATTTTCTACAATCTAAATACAACCACCCCCATTTGCAAGGTTAGTAGTAGATTCTAGATCCTAAGATTCCTTTTTCTCACCTTCCATTTTAAAGCCTAGATTTTTGAATTAAGACCAACTTGCCTAGTCTCTGTGGTTCGACACCCGTTCTCAACCGCTATTCTTATGTAGTAGTAGTTGCTACCGGTTTTATTCATTTATTTTTTAGTGTGCAAACGACCACCAAATTTTGGCGCCGTTGCCAGAGACTTCTAGTAAGTTATTAATTTAGAAATTTCAATTAGTTTTGTTTTTTACTGATGTTTCTTTTTGTGCAGATTGTCTTGTACAGGTGAACTAAAAAAAAAACAAAAAAATAATATATAAATATAAAAAATAAAAAAATTCATACCTTAACGTTGGGAAATTATCATTACCTGTGCTAGACAAATGATATTTGGACTAATGTTAGAGGACTAACATTATTATTATTGTTGTTGTAATTTTGCAAGATTTTCAAAGTGAATTACCGCCTTATTATCTTGTAAAATTTTGTTTTGTTTTGTTTTTATCGCACTTTTCTTTATCGCAATTTACTTGCTACAATTTAATTTTACTTAAAGGGTAGTCTGAAACTCCCTACATGTACATTTATTGTTAGAATTTACCAATTTACTCCTCCACCTACATCTCCACTAGCACCCACTTCACCTACCTCCTCCACTACACTACACCCACTACCACCCTTCTTCTATATATAGGAGTTGTAATACATAACACAACATCAATCAATCTTGTAATACACCAATCAATAATATCATCAATATATTTATTTGCCTCCTCTCTCTCATCTTTCACTTTCCAACCCACTTTGATCCACCGCCACTTTTCCCACTTTCTTTATTTTATATATATATATATAATATCTCTTTTTATTAAAAAAAAAAAAAAAAAAAAACAAACAAACAAACAAACCCACGAAATTTACATCTTTGCCCAACACTCCTATTTATTCATATCAGGGCTCACCCGATCACCATTTTACAAAAAAAAAAAAAAAAAAAAAAAAAAAAAAAAAAAAACAACAACAACAACACACATCCACAGGCAGGATTTTCTTCTCTACTCTGCCGCCGGTCTCTTCTTCTTGCCTCCGTCCTGAGCAGCCCTTGACGGTGCTGCCTCCATGTTTTCCACGCCGCCGAGCAAGTTCACTCCCCCATACTCCTCCACTGCAGCATATGGAGGACCTCCAAATCGGAACATCACAGTGGCCTTCCGCTTCAGCTCCTTGTTTTCTGCCTTTAGCACACTGATCTCTGCTCGCGCATCCTTATACATGCGTTGGAGCAGAACCAGCTGGGCATTTACATGCTGCACCTCATTTGTCCTACTCTGCAGCCGGTTCGACAAATTAGTGACGCCGTCATGCTTTCCACACATGTCTTCAAAGTATACTGGTTGGCCTCCACATCTGACTGCACCGCCATTTTTTGCTCCACGACCGCATCGGAAAATTCAACGGAGCAAACTCCGGGGCACTTGGTTGAGGTTCCAGTGCCACCGCACCAGTTCTCTCTCTTGTTGACTCGTTGAGGTCGGGAAAGAGAGTGAGCAGACTCCGGGAAGACGAGGGCCATTTTCTGGGCAACAGAGTATTACCAGACTTATCTCTCGTTAACAGAGTGTTTACAGACTCTCTCTCTCAGCACAACGAAGAGTTTTTCAGAGAAATTCGCAGGTTTGTTTTGTCCAGCCTCTGCCTCAGCCTTCAGGTTCAGTCTTTCGTTATATAGCCGAGGCAGCCACGCGCATCGCGCGACCTCTTGCCACCAGCGACAATACGGGCACCGCAAGCCAAGGCGCCCACGTGCCTCGCCATTCATATCTGGCACGTCTTTTGAGGAATTGGGCACGCCTTTTGATGGCACGCCTTTTGACAAAATTGGGCACACCCTTTTGAGCCGGGTGCCACTTTCCAAGGTCCGACAAGACTCTATAAAACTGTCCCGGACATTGATAAACCGCGTTTAGCTTTTTTCAGGGGTCCGACAAGACTCTGTAAACTGTCCCGACATTGTTCCGGTTAGCTCCTTAGTGGTCCGACAAGACTCTGTAAACTGTCCCGACATTGATTCCGCGTTAGTTTCTACAAGGGTCCAGCAAGACTCCGTAAACTGTCAACCACAAACTGTCAACAAACATTGGTCTGCTTACAACGTGTCCGACATGACCCCATAAAAACCTTGGTCTTCTACATGGTTATGACACCCTCATACAGTGTCCTTACAACGTTTATGACACCCATACAGTGTCCTCTACACGTTTATGACACCACCATACAGTGTCTTCACCAACGGTCTGACAGACCATACATGTCTCCTATCCTCTTTTTTGTATGTGATTTTCTTGTTTATTTTTATGTATTTTCTTGTTTTGTTCCTCTCTCCAAACTCAAGTTGGTTAGTTTCTATCCTCCTTGAGTTTGCGGGGGGCTGTTAGAATTTACCGATTTACTCCTCCACCTACCATTCTCCACTAGCACCCACTTCACCTACCTCCATCCACTACACTTACACCTACTACCACCTTCTCTTCTAATTATAGGAGTTGTAATACATAACACAAATCAATAATCTGTAATACATCAATCAATAATAACCATCATTATTTATTTACATTTATTTTATTTATTGTTAAAGTAATTAAATTTACTTTTAAAGGTTAGTATGAGACTTCCCTACATGTTGTACATTTATTTTTATTTGTAAAGGTTTGTTTATTTGTACTAATTTGCAGGTTTTTTTTTTTTTTTTTTTTTTTTTTTTTTTTTTTTTTTAAAAAAAAAAAAAAAAAAAAAAAGAAAGAAAAAAAAAGAAAAGAAAAAAAAGAGTGAGTGTGTTGTATACATAGTCGTCGTTCTTGTCTTCCAAAATTATTGTATGACCCTGAACTAGAGCGAATCTTTACAAATCTTCGGAAATCTAAACCGACTTTAGTAATGGCTGAAACAGTAGTAGACCAACCTAGGTCATTGAAGGAACATTTTACACCCACAACTGATGTCTCATCATCATGCATACAATTGCCAATTATCGAAGCAACCCATTATGAAATTAAGCCGAGTACCATTCAAATGCTTTCATCTTTTCACGGGCTTAGTAATGAGGATCCCTATAACCATCTCAGTGAGTTTTAGAGACCTGTTCTACAGTGAAACTCCAAAATTTTACCGATGAGGCCCTTAGGTTGAGACTGTTTCCCTTTTCACTTAAGGATAAGGCCAAACCCTGGCTAAATTCATTACCTGCAAACTCTATCACAACCTGGGACCAAATGAGGCAAAAGTTTTTGGACAAATATTTTCCCATAGGCCAAACCAATCAAATAAGACGTGCCGTCACCAATTTTTCTCAAATTGATGGTGAGTACTTCCATGAGACTTGGGAAAGGTTTCAGGATTTACTCCGTTAGTGTCCCCACCATCAGGTATCCCAGTGGCAGCTCGTTCACATTTTTTATTCTGGTTTGACTGACTCATTTAAACAAATGGTTGACTCGGCCTGTGGTGGGACGTTTATGACTAAGAGTGACATAGAGGCAAGGGAGTTGTTTGAAAATCCAATTGAAAATTCCGTACACACACCATGTGTCTGCCTCTCGACATGATAAGCAACCAATCCTTAGTGGTACGAAGCGAGGTGGCCTAAATGAGGTAGGTCATAGTGCAAATATTGCTCAGAAAGTCAAAGTATTGTCTAGAAAAATGGACCAACTGTTAGCAGTAGGACACATTTCTTCACAACTAGCACAACCACCATACCAAGAGGCTTGCACAATCTGTTTAAGCCCTATCCACTGTGCAGCCAAGTGCCCATCAGCACCTCAGTGTCCCGAGTCAGTTCTAGAGCATGTCAATGCAGTGGAAGGTTTTTCTAAACCGGGTAATGATCCATTCTCAAACACCTATAACCCGGGATGGAGAAACCATCCAAATTTTTCTTGGCGCTCACAGTCACAAGGAAATTCCTATGTAGACCTCCACCAAAATTCTGCCAATCCGCCTCTCTACCATCCTGTGTCTCAACAGTCATACCAATATCCTACTCAGAAAAATTCATCTTTTGAGAAAACAGTGTTACAACTTTTGCAGGCTACAAACCAACTTGTCCATTCCCACTCCCAATCCATTTCAAAACTTGAGACCCAAATTGGCCAATTGGCTAACACCTTAAGTAAGAGACAGAAAGGACAATTGCCTAGTCAACCAGTCAAAGATCCAAAGGGGCAGTATGGGGTAGAATCATCTAATGGCAAGAACATAAAGCAAATTCAAGCTATCATGACTCTTAGGAGTGGTCGAGAAATACCAAACCACACAAATGGGACCAATGAAAGAGTGAGCGAGCTGGGTAGTCAGATTCAAAATTCACCAGAGCAAAATAATGAGCCTAGGAGTCCTCCCTTGAGTCTTCCAAGTGAGCTTACGGCACCCTATGTGCCAAAGGCACCATATCCCCAGTGTTTAAATGATTCTTCTCCTTTCAGTAAAAAGAAGCAGGCATCGACAGAAGCAATGTTTGAGGTGTTCAAACGAGTGAAAATCAATCTCCCCTTGTTGGAGGTGATTAAGCAAGTACCTTTCTATGCTAAATTCCTCAAGGACTTGTGTACACGAAAGTGTACACGAGAACAGAAGGGGAGGCGAACTCACAAGGCCAAGAGGAGAGAGAAAAGAAAGGAAGAGTGGGAAAATTTAGAGTATATTTTATAGTGATTGTTATAGGAGTATGAGTAGTTAATTTCTGTATCTTAAAGTTAAGATGAAACTCTGATCGAGTTATTGGGGTAGTTTGCATTTAGTTTTGTAAAATCTTAATTGATTTGGGTATTATTGTATAACTCAGATTTTTATGCAAATAATGTTTTATCAAATTATGTGTTCATTTGGTCGTGAATACATGTTATACAAATAATTTTCATGCTTAGACGAGTCGTGTATCTACCTTAGTTTAGTGGTGACAGTCCGTGCTAAGCGAAAATAATTCGTAACTTTCTGATTTTAAAACACAAACCTTTTTAAGTGATGTGTCCTGATCAAGATATATCGTAGTACCCTTCTCAATAATTTTTTACAATCTAAATACAACCACCCCCAATTGCAAGGTTAGTAGTGGATTCTAGATCCTAAGATTCCTTTTTCTCACCTTCCATTTTAAAGCCTAGATTTTTGAATTAAAACCAATTTGCCCTAATCTCTATGGTTCGACCCCCGTTCGCAACCACTATTCTACGTAGTAGTAGTTGCTACCGGTTTTATTCATTTTATTTTGGTGTGCAAACAACCTACCACATTTCCGCCAAGAGCAGGAGCATATCGAAGTCCAATATTTCAGTTAAATCAGATCTTCCAGCTCTCACTACTGAAACATTCAAAGGAGTTATTGCCTTGTATATATGAACTGAAGGCTATATTATATTTTGCACACCACCAGAAATTTGGACCCAAAAAAATGTTTTTTGTTGGGACAAAGAATCTCAATTTTCATGGTAGTGCAGATGCATAGATCAATAGAACTTGAACATTCTAAAAGTTATAAATCCTCAAGTACCTGAAAAATGAGACCGTCTGCCTCATGAGAAAGCCTCCGAATGAATTCCTTTAAAAGTTTGTTAACAGTAGAGAGCAACCAAAAATCCTTCCTCCTCACCTGATAAAATTCTCGAGCAAATCAATAACCAGGCCCACTTGAAAAATCAAATTAGTTGTAATTAATTTTCTGTGGCCCTCAAAACATACCCTGAATGGTTCCAAGTCATATCTATAATATGGATTTCTACTCTCGTACATATGCTGGCGTTCATGGTTCCGAGGTTCAATCACTTCTTTCTCAAGCATTTTCCACCGTTCATAGAAAGGCCGCTGCAATGATTTGCAGTTATCACACAGTACCAATCAGGACAGTAGGCGAATTTTTAAAGAAAAAGCGACAAAACAGGCAAACACTCTATGATGATATAATAAACATCCAGAAAATTGGATATAGTTTATATAGTGTGCCGTGAAGCATTTTCACTTTCATGATATACGGCTGCATGTGTATTGGGTATGCCGAATACATGTTGGGTACGGCAAATACGTTTGGGTACGTCGTGGGTATAGGCTGGGTACGTTTTGGGTACGGCGTAGTGACCTTTTTTTTTTTTAGCTGCTAGAATTTGTTGTACCCTTTATTATTCTTCTTTCACTTTGAAAATCATCAAGTAATTTGTTTCTAACACCCTTTATCCATGAGTCCTGCCTTTGCGCTCTTTTGCATCATGTTTTAAACAATCAAAAAAGAAAAAGAAAGAATTATATAAGTTTTTAGACAAGTTGCTTCTATTAATTTTGATATAGAAACTTTAATTTGCATGTTGAATGTTTAGCTATAAATTTAAAAATAAAAAATAAAAAATTGACATACCCCAGCCATATCCGTACCCTACTTTTTTAAGAATTTGCCGTATCGGCGCACCCGTATCCTACTCATACCCATATCCGTACCTACACCCGTGCTTGCTATCTTATATCTCATGTGAAATGGTTTGAAAATTTGCTCTAACTAGTCAAGCATGGTCTATAGATCACCAAACACGGCTTCAATCGTTATTGCAATGGGTAAACTGAACTTGCATTAACCGGACTTGCTTCTTTTTGTTTTTGACAAGTTAGCCGGCCTTGCATGCTATACCTCATATTAACCCCCCCCCACCCAAAAAATAATAATAATAATAAAAAATAAATAAATAAACAAAAATAAAATAAAAAATTAAGCAGTACATGCCACGATGAATCAAAATGGACATTAGCAGATTAATATTAGTGATTGTCAAAATTAGATATATGTACTAGATGTGTCATCCCTCTCTGAGCATCCTAATATCCCCAGCAGAGGCTTGTCAGAGAAGAACTTGGGCAAAGAATGATACACAGACATGCAAGAATAAGAATTATAAAGCATCCATGCTTGGATCGTTGATTGCGTCAAATGAGAAGTAGACCCCGAATTAGTTTTCTAACCTCTATGACAGAGACGTAATTAATTGCCATCAGATCATAGATTAGGTATCTTCTTTCCTGCTTCCGTGAGTCTGGTACAGTATCAATTATCATCTCCCCATCAAGTAATGTATAGTGGTGAGTCTTCTCAGCTAAAGCCTTACAAAATAAGTGCAATTACATCAGTTTGGAGGCCACAAATATGGAAAACTTCATTAACGGGGCTTTATATAGACCAGAAACCTTCGTGAAAGCAGACTGCGGATACATACTTCATTAGTGCTTTTGCAAGGAAATTTCATCTGGACCCTTCGAAAATTGAAATTCCTATCAATTAAGTAACAACCATCCAAGGTAATTAGCATCATATATCGTGTTCCATCTGCTTTCCATGTGGCATAATAATAGCGTTGTCTTAGCAATTGTAGGTTGTCCCTGCAAGCCAAAAAAGATAATCACATTGTCATAGATAAATGAGACTATAGTCAGGAAGGAATATTCAATACAAAGGATCTTAAATATAACAACCATGATTCAAATTTCCCCGTTTATCTAGAGAAAACATGAAATCCACATGCTTAAAGCAGAAACAACACAATCATCAAAATTAGCATAATTTTTATAGACGAGATGAGCATAATATATGTGACACATTCATTTAAAACTCGGGATGAGCATTCTTTAGGGAATGAAGGCTTTGCTAACCATAGTTGCACACAGCTTTTGTACCATATCAATAGCTTCAAATACGTAAATTAAAGCCTTTGATATAAAGCACCTCAAACCCCTCATGTAACAATGAATTGTTAGCAAGAGCCAAGCCATTGGCTGGCTACACTATTTTAACCACATGTACTAACTAGATTACATGGCCAAAGTTAGAATAGAAATATTTCAAGCCAACCAGAACTTCAATTGACAATGATGTATCTTAATAAAGTTCAGTGGAAATAAAGGACATGCACAGACAATTCAACTTGTATCCTGCTATACAATCCAGAACTGGAACGTACAAGACACAACAAACCTAATGTGTCCCTTGATTGATCTAACACTGAAGTAGTAACATATTTTTCTTAGAGCATCACCAGTGCTGCTGGTAAAAGTTCAGCTAGGCTCAAGTCTAAGAGTAGCCACCATGAGCAAATAACACCAGAAATTAGGTCTGCATCCAGTCTATCACTGCCAGCACCCTATTTTGTCCTTTCTCTAAAAAATTCTTTGTAACAGAACTTTCTATCTAGTGATGGTAACAGACAATAAAATCAATTTCTCCAATTAGAAGTATACATCAAATTAAGTCTACACAATAAAACACTAGCTTCCTGCAAACCTATAAGCACATGAATGCTAAATTATCAAGTTAAATACCGGCTTAATTAAATGCATAGCTTGAAGCCCCATGGCTGACACCCTCATATTTCAAGAGACACTTCTTCCAACTTCGAAAAAGATAAGAACCCCAACTCAATGCACCGATAAGCAACACACAAATTCACACTCTAAGATGTTTAACTGATAACATACAACGCTGGTGATAATACAGAATACAAGCACCAACTTTAGATACTTATTATTGTTGTGGAAAAGATTGAGTTGGACCTGTTAAGCGAAACAGGGTGTGACCCTGGAAATTGAGAGTTTCCTCTTACCTGAAAAAAAAAAAAATGGGGCTTCAACTTTTGATTACATATAGTAAAATCTAGTATTTAATTTGATTTTAACTAATTTTGATTACATTTATACCATTATAAGAGTCTCATATAAAACCCTCAAAAAATGGAAGAGAATGCATAAGTGCGAATCCAACCCAAACATAAAAAATGGAAGTGATGCCTTTAAAGTTCTTACCCCTATACCCAACTTTAGTGCTTGATAGCAGAACTGCCGCATTGCATTTTGTTGGTCGAAGGGTATGCTATCTCCCAAAACATCATCATTTGTCATTACTGCCTCTATCTCATGCTTCTCCTGAAAAAATAAAGACTTGTTAAAACACATTGAGAAAATCCAGATGCAAGGAAGAGAAGGACGAAAAGAAGAGGGATAAACATTGGCACAGATAATTGCAGGGTCAAAGAAGATGATAACTAGACCGCACCAATTTATCATATTATTAAGGAGGGAGAGAGAGAGAGAAGGCCAAGGTTTGACTCTACTACACAAACTTAGAAAAACGAATGCCCAATTTCATTAAACATCCAGGCCTATGCCTATAGGGCAAGGCTAGTTTCAAGCGTAACTCTGGTTGCAAAAAGAAAGATGATACTAAGTACTTCACAAGAAATAAGGAAACCATGCTCCATTTTCTTGATTTTTCCTCAAAAACCAATCTAGAAAATTACATCTATGCTTGTACAATGCAACAAACATAAAAAGGACGTAATTTGCCATAGATGGCAGAATTTTCATTACATCAGAAAGACCAAGGAATCTGTCGAAAGATATTAGGAATGAGAAATAAAATAATGCATCCAATAAATGCATACAGGCAAAGGAGCAGCAGAAACTCCATCATCGTCCTCATCCGGCACAACATCACCATTGAGATCAAATCAAGAACAGAAGATCTTTTCCACTCTGGAGTTGGAGGGCAAACAACCATTTCAGGCTTTCTTTCATGATAAAAGTTGTACAAGGCATCAACATAGTCTGGTTTGTAGATTCCTGGTGGGCGTGCATCAGCAAATAATTTAATTGCCTGCATCAAAGAAAGCCAATCAATCCATCTTCCGTGGAACAACCTAAAAGCAAAGTCAGAACAAAACAGACAATAAACTAACCTGTGTAACAGATATGGATAGTGTGCGCATGAGATAATGAACGATCATATACCCCGTTCGGTTATGCCCATGTGTACAATGAACAATAATATACTTCTTCGAGTGCTTTTGGCGAGTGAGAAATAGTGAAACCTAATAAAAATGAAAACAAATAATAACTATCAAAATAACATAATGTGAAGTAGAGCCCTCTATCACCACATGTTGACATCTGGTTGTGGAGGTTCCCTTGAAAGAGAACCTTTGACGAAGTGTGATTGACAGTATGTGCATGACTAGGGGGGATTGGTTCACACAGGAAATTAGGGGCTCATAGGGTGTGGGCATTTGGAAAAACATTACGAGGGTCAAGGATGACTTTTTTCCTCTTATATGCTTGGGTGGGGATGAGTACAGAGTTCAGTTTTAGCATGATATCTGATGTGGACAAAGGCCATTGAGGAACGTCTTTCATGATCTTTTCAGGTTGGCAATTAATCAGGAGGGCTCAATAGCAGAGTTTTGGACTCCATCTTCTATGGGTACAATTTGGATGCCTGCTTTCCGAAGGGCTCTTCGCAGTTGCTAGGTAGATCTTATTGTCTTAGGATGGCTTCAGGATACATTCAAGTAAGGGCGGATGATACTCTAGTTTGGGGAAGAGCCAAGAATGGCTTATATGCGGTGCCTTCCTTTTATAAGAAATTAGTAGGTGTTGGAATGTGTCCTACATCACCTAGAGTTGCCCCATTTGTGCTGGTTATAAAGCTCCAGTTTCCCTTTCCTTAATACCTGGGTTTTAAGGAAAAGTGTGGGCTAGACTTTTCAATTTGGTATCAGAGCTTGATTGGGCCTGTGATTGGTGTGCCGTTTGTTCGGCTACTGTATCTTGTGGTCCAAAAATGTGTGTTGGAATGTGTCCCACATCACCTGAAGTTGCCTCATCTGTACTGATTATAAAGCTCCAGTTTCCCTCCCCTTAATACCTGGGTTTTAAGAAGAAGTATGCGCTGAACTTTTTAATTTGGTATCAGAGCTTGGTTGGGCCAGTGATTGGTGTGCCATTTGTTCGGCTACTATATTTTGTGGTCCAGGAGGGTGTGTTGGAACGTGTCCTACATCGCCTGAAGTTGTCTCATCTGTGCTAGTGCTGGAAATTGTGTTCATGTATATAATATGATAGTGGTGTTGGTGGTAGATAGTGGCATGTATAGAATATGATAGTGGTGTTGGTGGTAGATAGTGGCATGTATAGAATATGATAGTTGTGTTGGTGGTAGATAGTGGCATGTATATAATATGATAGTGGTGTTGGTGGTAGATAGTGGCATGTATATAATATGATAGTGGTGTTGGTGGTAGATAGTGGCATGTATATAATATGATAGTGGTGTTGGTGGTAGATAGTGGCATGTATATAATATGATAGTGGTGTTGGTGGTAGATAGTGGCATGTATATAATATGATAGTGGTGTTGGTGGTAGATAGTGGCATGTATATAATATGATAGTGGTGTTGGTGGTAGATAGTGGCATGTATATAATATGATAGTGGTGTTGGTGGTAGATAGTGGCATGTATATAATATGATAGTGGTGTTGGTGGTAGATAGTGGCATGTATATAATATGATAGTGGTGTTGGTGGTAGATAGTGGCATGTATATAATATGATAGTGGTGTTGGTGGTAGATAGTGGCATGTATATAATATGATAGTGGTGTTGGTGGTAGATAGTGGCATGTATATAATATGATAGTGGTGTTGGTGGTAGATAGTGGCATGTATATAATATGATAGTGGTGTTGGTGGTAGATAGTGGCATGTATATAATATGATAGTGGTGTTGGTGGTAGATAGTGGCATGTATATAATATGATAGTGGTGTTGGTGGTAGATAGTGGCATGTATATAATATGATAGTGGTGTTGGTGGTAGATAGTGGCATGTATATAATATGATAGTGGTGTTGGTGGTAGATAGTGGCATGTATATAATATGATAGTGGTGTTGGTGGTAGATAGTGGCATGTATATAATATGATAGTGGTGTTGGTGGTAGATAGTGGCATGTATATAATATGATAGTGGTGTTGGTGGTAGATAGTGGCATGTATATAATATGATAGTGGTGTTGGTGGTAGATAGTGGCATGTATATAATATGATAGTGGTGTTGGTGGTAGATAGTGGCATGTATATAATATGATAGTGGTGTTGGTGGTAGATAGTGGCATGTATATAATATGATAGTGGTGTTGGTGGTAGATAGTGGCATGTATATAATATGATAGTGGTGTTGGTGGTAGATAGTGGCATGTATATAATATGATAGTGGTGTTGGTGGTAGATAGTGGCATGTATATAATATGATAGTGGTGTTGGTGGTAGATAGTGGCATGTATATAATATGATAGTGGTGTTGGTGGTAGATAGTGGCATGTATATAATATGATAGTGGTGTTGGTGGTAGATAGTGGCATGTATATAATATGATAGTGGTGTTGGTGGTAGATAGTGGCATGTATATAATATGATAGTGGTGTTGGTGGTAGATAGTGGCATGTATATAATATGATAGTGGTGTTGGTGGTAGATAGTGGCATGTATATAATATGATAGTGGTGTTGGTGGTAGATAGTGGCATGTATATAATATGATAGTGGTGTTGGTGGTAGATAGTGGCATGTATATAATATGATAGTGGTGTTGGTGGTAGATAGTGGCATGTATATAATATGATAGTGGTGTTGGTGGTAGATAGTGGCATGTATATAATATGATAGTGGTGTTGGTGGTAGATAGTGGCATGTATATAATATGATAGTGGTGTTGGTGGTAGATAGTGGCATGTATATAATATGATAGTGGTGTTGGTGGTAGATAGTGGCATGTATATAATATGATAGTGGTGTTGGTGGTAGATAGTGGCATGTATATAATATGATAGTGGTGTTGGTGGTAGATAGTGGCATGTATATAATATGATAGTGGTGTTGGTGGTAGATAGTGGCATGTATATAATATGATAGTGGTGTTGGTGGTAGATAGTGGCATGTATATAATATGATAGTGGTGTTGGTGGTAGATAGTGGCATGTATATAATATGATAGTGGTGTTGGTGGTAGATAGTGGCATGTATATAATATGATAGTGGTGTTGGTGGTAGATAGTGGCATGTATATAATATGATAGTGGTGTTGGTGGTAGATAGTGGCATGTATATAATATGATAGTGGTGTTGGTGGTAGATAGTGGCATGTATATAATATGATAGTGGTGTTGGTGGTAGATAGTGGCATGTATATAATATGATAGTGGTGTTGGTGGTAGATAGTGGCATGTATATAATATGATAGTGGTGTTGGTGGTAGATAGTGGCATGTATATAATATGATAGTGGTGTTGGTGGTAGATAGTGGCATGTATATAATATGATAGTGGTGTTGGTGGTAGATAGTGGCATGTATATAATATGATAGTGGTGTTGGTGGTAGATAGTGGCATGTATATAATATGATAGTGGTGTTGGTGGTAGATAGTGGCATGTATATAATATGATAGTGGTGTTGGTGGTAGATAGTGGCATGTATATAATATGATAGTGGTGTTGGTGGTAGATAGTGGCATGTATATAATATGATAGTGGTGTTGGTGGTAGATAGTGGCATGTATATAATATGATAGTGGTGTTGGTGGTAGATAGTGGCATGTATATAATATGATAGTGGTAGATAGTGGTAATATATAATATGTAAGTGGCATATAATGGGTTATGATGATGTTTGTAATATCTCCTATATAAGGAGTGTCATTTGGTCTTGTAAGATAAGAAGTTTTGAATATAACAGAAATATATTCCTTCTTTCTCATATTTTTCGGAGTTCTTCTTCTTCATATTTTCTAAGTGCTAGTTATAAACTCCAGTTTCTCTCTCCTTAATACCTGGGTTTTAAGGAGAAGTATGGGCTGGGCTTTTCAATTGTAGGTAGAGAGGATGTAGGCTTTCCTTGGAAAGGGATTTGGTGCTCGAGGGCCTCCCAAAGGCGAAATTCTTTACTTAGAAGACAACTGAGGAGGGGTAAATTCTTGTTTGTGTTTGTGTAAGGGAGTGAGGGATAGTAAAGGGATTTCGTGCTCAAGGGTCTCCCAAGGTAGCATTCTCTGCTTAGACAATAGTTGAGGAGGGGTAAATTCTTGTTGGTGTTTGCATAAGGGAGTGAGGGTGTGAGGGATAGTGTGTACTATCAACTTTTACACTATTCGGTTGCAAGGGAGGCATGAAGTGTCGTGTTCTCAATTTTTGAAGTGGAATGAGTGATGCATGAATCGTTTAGGGAGTGGGAGTATAGCGATCCCGGTTTTCCTTCTATTGTTTATTGTATTCCGGACTCGGTTCTGTGGATGTATGTTGTTGTCTTATTCTGGTTTCCATCCTTTGATTCTTTGTATTTGAGTCTTGGGGTGTGTTGGGCAGGTTCGAAACAGGTTGGTTGGGTGTTGGAGCAAATGGTTGCTGTCCAGTTTTTGGTCTCTTCGCTCGAGCGAGGACTTTGTCGCTCAAGCGAGTCTTATGTTTTTCCTCCTTTGCTCGAGCGAGGTTTTGTACGCTCGAGCGAGTATTGTGGGTCTTCAGGTTTTCTTTTCAGATGCAGCTTTGGCTCGGGCGAGATTTTCTTCGCTCGAGCGAGCTCAGTCTGGTGTATCTCTTCGCTCGAGCGAGCGGTCCTTCGCTTGAGCGTGCGTCTGCTTCTCTTTTGGACCTAAAGGTTGCGTTTCTTGGCTCGAGCGAGGACTCCTACGCTCGAGCGTGCTTCTGAGTTGTAGATCTGAAGCTTCGTGTTGTTCGCTCGAGCGAGATTTGTCAATGTCTGGTCGCTCGAGCGACCACTCCTTCGCTCGAGCGAGCCTCGAGTATATCAGTTCCAGCAACGTGTTTCTTCTTCACTTTTTCATCTCTTTTCACTTCCAAACCCTAGATTCGACTCTCTCTCTCTACATACACCTTCTCTCTACAAATACCCTTGGTTCTTGGGTGTGTCTACCCTAATCTCTTTGTAGGAAAGGTGGAGCTTGGTGCAGGCTACACTTTGATCCGAAAAAGTTGTACTTTGGAGCACTTTCGAGTTCCTTCATCTTCTCCTTTGGGATCTTAACTTCGAGGTAGGGATAATCTACTCCTTCTTATGAGTTTTAACATAAATATTAGTCATTTAGTATAAATGTTGAGATTTGTGATTTGGGAAGTTAGGGTTTGAGGTTTGTGGTATAAAAGAGAAGGGTTTTGTGTTTTTTAAACTCCATATGTACATGAGGTCTTGAAAATGAGGTTTGTGGGTTTGATAGGTGAGATTTGGTCTTAGGATCAATGTTTGAGAAAAGGGGGAAATGCCCTAATTGAATTTAAATAATTAATTTGTATAATTAATTGGGTAATTGTGAGGAATATGAAATTGATTTGAACATCATGAAATTGGATGGAATTGGGACTACTTGGTGTGGTCAGTTTGATAAATCACTCACCTTTGTGGGTTTGATAGGTGAGATTTGGTCTTAGGATCAATGTTTGAGAAAAGGGGGAAATGCCCTAATTGAATTTAAATAATTAATTTGTATAATTAATTGGGTAATTGTGAGGAATATGAAATTGATTTGAACATCATGAAATTGGATGGAATTGGGACTCCTTGGTGTGGTCGGTTTGATAAATCACTCACCTATGAAAAATGTGATAATTTATCTGTTTGGTAAATTCATTTATCTGTCTAGAAATAACTACTTTGGGCTATCGGTGGAGGATAGTCTTGATTGTTGTAGAACTGCATGATGATTAAGTAAATTGAAACTAATCAATTGAAATATGTCATTGAATATGATAGTGGGAAGAACACATTGAATATGCGCCTTGATTGATCATGGTATAAGATAAAAACTTTAATACATTATGTATGTATCTTGTTTGGGAAGAGATAGGAGAGGTACTCCGTATATGATTATGCGCTTTAATACATTGTATATGTATCTTTGTTTGGGAGGAGATAGGGGATGTACTCCATTGTTTGGGAGGAGACAGGGAATGTACTCCATACGTGCCTATTTGCTTTAATACATTGTATATGTACTCCATACATGTGATTATATGCTTTATTACATTGTATATGTATCTTTATTTGGGAGGAGATAGGGGATGTACTCCATTGTTTGCGAGGAGATAGGGGATAGACTCCATAGATAATTAAGTTGGCCGGAGTGTCCGGGGCGAAAGTCCCGAAACCTTATAAATTGAAGTGCATGAATGAAGTTGACATTTGAAGTGTTAATAACATGAGTTGTAGTCTCATTATGAATTGATGACAATTGAAGTATTAATTACATGAGTTGTAGTCTCATTATGAATTGTGGATAACGGAAGTGTTAATAAGTCGAGTTGCAGTCTCATTTAAATTGTTTGGTTAGATAATGAACCATATTTAGGAATTGAATTGGATAAATAAGGGAAGTGGATTGAAACATGGATGTAATTGTTGTTGGGCTATGAGAAGGGAGTGAGTTGGTCTACACGTGTTAATCATTTGTCGAATGATAATGTTTTAGTTATTTCTCATATTGGGTTTAGTATGTCACTACTGGGCTTTGGCTCACCCTACTTGGGACACTATTTTCAGGTACAGGAGACGTGCCAAGTTCAAGATCTTTGCTTGGGAGGTTCTAGGAGTTGAAGACTCTGAATACAAGTCGAAGGCTTTACTTGTAAAAGAGTTAGAACTCTTCTTTTGTGTAACCAAGTAACAACTTGGAAAGATGTAAGCTCGCAGAGCATTCTATCATTTTTATAAACATTTGTACCTTATATGAAATACTCTTTTGTAATATTAATTCTGATGTATGTATGGAAATGTGATTTATCTATCATGTATATAGAACAGTTGGATGTTGGGATTATGTATTATTTTGAGGGCGTTACAGGGAGTTTTTCTCCTCCTGGTGTAGAGGTTGCACAAGGGGGAAGGTTAGGAAGGCATGGCAGGCTATTGTACTTTGCCTTTTGTGGTGTTTGTGGAGTGAGAAACAAGAGAACTTTTGAAAATTTGGAGAATTTGATTTTGTCTTTGAAAGAGACGATACCTATCTCCTCGTATTTTTGTTGTGGCAAACTTTTCCTTTTTCTATAGGTGCTTTATTGATCTTTCTGGGAAAATTGCACATCTATGTAGATGTATAACGATTGATACTTTTTGTTTCTCTATATACATCACATGTATAAGCCTTAAGTCCCATCAAATGGGGTCGGCTATATGAATCATTCTTCTTCACTCGACTCTATGAAAAACTGTTAACATTTACCATCACCTACCACACACCTTGAGTTTGCGGGGGGCTGTTAACATTTACCATCACCTACCACACACTTACCATCACCTACCACACACTCACCTACACTCACCTACTCCACTACACCTACATCTATATAAGGAACCATTTGTAATAGACAGATACAACAATCTTGTAATAAATCAATCAATAATACATAAATTCTTACAAAAACCATTTCATTGTCAAATTAAGAAGATTCATATTTCTATTTACTATACTAGCCTACATCAATCTAGATTTGCCCATTTCCCTAATACTTCCATCTACCATTATTGTATCGCATCTCTTCACTAAAAGATTTTACATACCAAAAAAAATTCAGAAACTAATCCAACCCTTACTTGGCTTGCACTGACAATGAATTTACACTATTTTCTTCTGACATCAAAATTGATCCACAAACATATAACGAATACAATAACGTTGCATATTTTTCATTTGAATTAACTTCTTATGATCAAGTATAACTTCAAAACTTATTCTTTAAAACTATATTATTGCTAAAAAACCTTCTTAAAACATGAAATTGAAATCCATTAAATAGTTACCCATTTGTTCCTCCAACTTTGCTCTAATTTTTAATGCAACCCTCGAACTTCTAATTTTTCTATTTAAGCCCTCCAACTTTCAAAATTTTGTCAACGCAGTTCAACCATAATGGGAAAAATTAATATGTTGTATAATGTTTTTTGTTTTTTTTTTTTTTTGATAAATAATAATATGTTGTATAATGTTCTTCCCAAACGAGCAAATTTTATCATAATGTCCTAAATGGATAAATAATTTCACCTAAAAACTAGCACATGGGTTTTCTCTCTCCATCTTTTGTTTTTTCTCATTTAGACTATCATTTTTTTAGTTTAAACCCTAAAACTAGTTCAATTAGAAAGCACATGATATAATACGACAGTTTTTCCTGCACTTGATTATAATAACTTAATTATGGAAGTCGGAGAGCTTAAATAGAGAAAATTTAAAAGTTTGAGGATCAAATTGAAAACTAGAGCAAAGTTGGAGGGACTAATTGATACTTTACCCTTTGTCATAACAATTGAAACTCAATTAGGAGTTGTCATAGGCCAAGTTACGTTTCCAATTAGCTACCTATTATATAAAAAAATTGCATCCAAAAAATGTGGCATTGATATTTCTGAAATTATAATCCCAAGTGAGGGATCATTTGCTTAAAAATGACAGGAACACAATAAGTCACATTATTTTGTATAAAAGCTCTATATGATGTGGCAATGGCATCTTTGAACTTAAGGGCCTAAGTGATTGGTCTTTTGCATTGAAACAAAAGGACTGAAAATGAGCCATATCATTTTGTATAAAGTTTTGTTTGTATAGCATACACTTTTTAGTGTCCATAGTTTCTGAAAAAATTTAACCACCCGAAATGTTTTAAGGTGGTCAACTTAGCCTAATAAGGTAATCAAAATCTGGCGTAAAAACACTTTACCTACATTTTATGTAATCCTATCAGATAGAAGTAAATTAAAAAACCTTCTCTTCTTAAGAATATCTCTTCTATCCATGCATCACACAGGTTTACCACAAGTTATAAGCATAGGGGAGAATTACATTTTGAGATTCATTCAAACACCAGTAAGAAAGTGATGATGTAAAACTAAAGAAATTTTCATCCCTGCACTTACTTCTGAGAAAGAACCTAACTCATAATTTCCCAAAGTACAAGACCACAGTGAGATGATAACTGGCAGAATGTCTGTTTATCTTGCTTATAGAAGTATTATCAATGGACACAAGGAAAAATATGAGAAAATGGTAAAAGCTGAATATGTTTCACAAGCCATAAAGGTATAATAGATGTGTTTAACAAAAACATTACCTCATAAACAAAGTAATTTACAGCCTCATTATCAGGTACAGAATCACGCCCCTTGCATTGAATCTGAATAACAAATGCAATCATTAAAGGTTGGAAAGACTTCATTTGCCATTGTCGGAAAATCATAAGGAAGAAAACCTCATTTAGTTGACCATTACCCACCTTAACATGCTTAATACCTTCTTTCTTCAAATCTGATGCATGATAGTAACGACTAGTATTCGTAAGATCGATCACTAAACCAAGCTGGAAGCATCAGTGAAAAAAATTGAAAATGTTGAATTTCCCAGTAAGCAACCAAAGCTAAACTTTTTGATTAAAAAATTCACTTCTTACAGATATATCACAAGTTAATCTGCAGTGTTTCCTATTTAGGAGTTAAATATGCATCTAGGATATAAGTCTAGTTTCAGCAGAATTCTGGTTAATTAAATTCTTATTACAAGAAAGCCACATAGAGAATTACATGGCAGCTTGAGATCAGTGCTGCTTTCATGAATGAAGTTTTGTCACATATACTAGTGAGATATAATAACACAGTCAACATAAGGAAACAGGACACTATCTTCTCTTGCAAAATTAAAAATCTGAAAAAAGCCAGTAATTAGCTTCTAAGAAGACCAGCCACCCTCACTAGTTCGTTAGAGGCACAAATTCTCCCTCTTTTGCTCTAGGCACCACTCCTCTCGATAAAATTGATATACTTATGCACACACACATGCACACAGAGAGAGAGAGAGAGAGAGAGAGAGAATCCATAAACCTCCCTCATCACATAAGGATCACTCACCTATCCATCCCAATAATGTTCAAGTCCTCTTGGCTGCAAATCAACTCTTATGTCCTCTCCATTCTTTTTTTTTTTTTTTAAGATCAACAACAATAACTTTATTGATAATTCAAAAAAAGCAAGCGAGGATAAGGCATCCTCTTACAAAAGGACAATGGCAATACATAAAATGAAACCCGTAACAAGCTAATCCCGAGCAAAAACCTACATATTACACACCGCCAACCAATCTTTATCTAACAAAACAAGTGAAACTCCCTTAAATAAAGAGCTCCCTGACACCCAAAAAGAAGTTAAGTGACAAATATTATCCCACAAACAGCCCACCTCCCGAAACTTATTTTCAAACAACCTCGCATTTCTCTCCATCCATAGAACCCAAAAAGTAGCGAAGACGGCACAAGACCATAACACTTTGGCTCTCTTTGATCCTCCGAATGTGCGAAAATCAACTAGGAGCATATGCGCACTCCCTTTTGGGGCTACCCATATAACATTTCCCAAAGAAAACAATCTATGCCATAAATTCAAAGCGATTGGACAATGCAAGAATAAATGATCCACGGATTCCCCATTCTTACAACACAGAATGCACCACTGGGGATTTAGAAAACGATTAGGTCTCCGTTTCTGCAATATATCATTTGTCAAAATGCCTCCATGAACCAAGGCCTACATGAACACCTTTACCTTTAGGGGAGCACAAGCCTTCCAAACTTTTTTGCGAAAGGAAACTGAGGAACATGAGGATTATCAATGATGTAATCAAAAAAAGACTTACAAGAAAATATATCGGACGAATGAAAAGCCCAAACCCTCTTGTCCTCCAAAGAGGAGATAAAAAAAAATGATCAATTCTAGACAATAAAGAAATCAACTATGAAGCCTCCCTATCATTAAGATTCCTAGAAAAATCAAAATTTCAGGAAATTGGAGCCAAAAGTGAATAAGCTATGGAAGCAATTGAAGAATTATGAGATCGAGTCATTCTATATCGATATGGGAAGTCAGCAGCAAAAGAAGATTAACCCATCCAAACATCCTCCCAAAATCGAACAAGTTCCCCATCGCCCACCCTTACAAAAAGACGACGAGACCAACATGTAAAAATTTGAGAAATTGACTTCCAAGGAGCACGATAGTTACCCCACAAAACCACCCGTGAATCCCTACCATTGTCATGAGTCCCATATTTGCTTCTTATAACCACGTGCCATCTCAAGTGGAAATCTCCATAATCACTTGCCAAGAAGGGCCAAGTTCCTAGCCAAAATATTACTGATAGCCAAACCCACCTTCTCCTTAGGTAACGACACTAACTCCCAATTCACCAAGTGATCCTTTTTCCCCTCATCCTTGCCTTCTCAAAGAAAATCCCTCATCAACTTTTCTAGTAACCTTGACACCTTAACTGCAACCTTGAACAAAGATAAATAATAAATAGGAATATCACTCAAAACAGTCTTAACCAAAGTGTATCTATCCCCACGTGATAATAAAGCCTTACTCCACCCTTCCAGTCTCTTACCAATCTTTTTCATAACTGGATTCCAAAAAACTTCACTCCTAGGATCACCCCCCAATAGAAGATCCAAATACTTAAACGGAAGTGACTCTATACCACATCCTAAAAGTGTCGCCCTGATCTAAAACTGATCTTGCAGAACATCAATTCCCATCACACTACTTTTTTCCAAATTAACCTTAAGCCCTAAGATAATCCCAAAAAGTCTCAAAATCGAATAAAGATTACCTATCTGACTTTCATCTCCTGAAGAGAAAAATATGGTATCATCCGCATATTGTAAATGTGTCACACTAACTCTATCTCTTCCCACCTCCAACCTCGCAAAAAGACCTACTTTCTTTAGCTCTATTGACCATCCGTCTAAGTACATCAGCCACCAAAATAAAAAGTAAAGGAGATAGTGGGTCCCCTTGTCGAAGCCCCCGTGAAGCCCTAAAGCAATCCCCTGGTTTAACATTAACTATAACTGACATATTACAAGCCGCCAAACATCCCCTAATCCAAGATCTTCACCTCCCACAATATCCTTTCTTGTCCATTACAAAATCCAAAAACTGCCAATCCACATGATCATATGCCTTCTCAAAATCTATCTTAAAAATAAGTCCATCACTCCCTAAACTTCTATATTCCTCCACTACTTCATTTGCCACTAAGGCAACATCTAAGATTTGTCTTCCTTTCACAAAAGCCCCTTGCGCCCTAGACACAATATCCCCTAAAGACATCCTCACCATAGAGATCTTTACCACACTAGTCTCTGCCCCACCTCCATAACCCTCAACATCCCCATCCTCTTCGAGACTTCCTAAATTTCAAACCCTTCAGCTTCACTCAACCTGCCCAGAGTGGTATCCCTCCTAACCCAAGTTGGGCCGAAATAAAACGACCCTTCTTGGTCTGCTGCACCAAAAAAGAAAAAAGAAAAAACGAGGAAGAAGCCATGCTTCAAACGAGGCCCAATATCTTTCAACACTGTCACTTTGGTGGTGTTGAATATTGGCCCCGAAGGCTCATCAACATGTGGCCTATACTGGTCCCTACCTTGCTCCCCACCCCAAGGGTTCCCCATTTTTGCTTTAATATTCAAAAGACTCTGCCCTTGCACCACTTTCCCCCTACCCTGAAATATCTCATCCATATCTTCATGTGCCTGGGGAGATTAAACGCAGGTCACAGATAGCATATGTGGAGATTAAAGCAATAGCCTTTTTCAAGAACTGCACTCAGTAGCAGTGCAATCTTTCATCTAGGCCAACAAAGTGTAATTGTTTCCTAAAAACTAAGTGAAAAAAACCTCCAATATTGGTAATCTATAAACAATGCCCCTCCCAGTTTCCTTTTCTCATTACACTAATGAAATCTAAATTCACAATCAAATTGATACAGAGACATGGACCGATTTGCTCAGTAATTGTTCCACAGGTTTTGAACTTCATGTTTTCTTATATGTATAGGCTACTTGTATCTTTGTTGCTCCAAATTCCAACATTAAATCCTTTTCCAGACCAGAGCTTAGAATAGAGACGTGAAAATTGAATTCTTTCACATGTATTCTGTTTTATTAGTGGAGATATCCCAGTGATCTTCTTACACCCCTTACTCTATTAATTTTTTTGTTTGGACCATCGAAGGATTTTTTACTTGAAGTACTTCTACATACTTCTAGTGAGCAAACACTGTTGTCATCATGGCAAGCCAAGTACATGTAAACATGACTTAAATCTTGCTCTTGTTAGACTCTTCTACTGAAATGATATAACTCCTTAAACGTCTAAAACGGGGAAAGAATTTGCCCCTTCCAAGATGTAAGCTACATGGTGAGAAATCACGTTGTGAACAAACTACTTTACCCTTTAAAAATAAAAAAGAACCGTTTCAAAAAGAAGATGGTCATTTTATTTGCATATTTCAGAGAAGAAAAAGGCAAAACGAAGTTTGGTGTTCTTACTTTTCTTCCTAAAACTCTCTGTTGATGAATCACTTGCTTAAAAGAGTATCTTTTACCAGCAGGAACATAGGCATTGAAGGATTCACCAAGTGGAACTTTAGAAGGAATAATGCAACCAATTTCCTGGCCAACTGAAGGACAATCCAACCAACCTGTGATACGAAGAACAAAAAGGTAAATAACAAAAAGAGATGGTATGGAGAAAGATATTCAAGTGAGATAAATTTAATCTAAAACTAAAGATACAAAATATGAAAGTTCAATGTTTTGGAGCAATCAACTGTTAAATATTCCTTTTAAAAAAAAAACAAAATAATAAAAGGGGGACTTACGTATAGGTCCCAATAGATGGATTTATTGTCCAATAGGTCCTATAATAGTTAATAGCGTTTTTCATCAAACACTATTAAAAAAAGTCACTAATTGTTAATTTTTAGTGATAGTTTGAAATTTTGGTCACAAAAAATGTCACTAATTATAAGTTTTAGCAACAGTTTAAAAAAAAAAAGTCGTCACAAAAAAGTAACTAATTGTAAGTTTTAGCAACAATTTATAAAAATTGTGACCAAAAAAATCACTAATTGTCAATTTTTAGTGATATGTGCAAAAAATCGTCACAAAAAAAATATTTTTAGCGATGATTTTACTAGAACTTACTTTCAATAAGACTTGATGGGAATAAAAGAACCTATTGGTAGTTTACCCATAATAAAAACGAGACTGCCATATGCCTACAACACTAAAAGATCTCACAAGAAGATAAATTCAGGAAGAAAAACAAGAATGATAATAAGAAAAATGTGGATATAAAAGTGACACCAATATCTCATGTCACTAATCCGATAACTAAGCTTCATCTACAACCATTCACAATGAATTTTGAATTAATTTTGAGGCCAAGTTGGAACCAAGGCAAGTTTTAACCTTTGTGTCATCCAAACAAACACCACAACAAGCATCATATAACTTTATTTCAACACAATTTCAATCTAGTTGCAACTTGGTACTCCTGTATCACTTCCTTGCAAATCCCCTTTAATTTTATTCTTCTCAAAAAATATATATAATTAATAAAAAAAACAAGCGAGAGAGATAATCAAGGGAAGAAAAAATATATTTCTTGTCAGCAAAAGAGAATATCATGGGCAGAATTAGAAGCGATAGTCTAGTTGCCATATTTCATGTTTTCACATAGAAGCATCCCATGTTTTGGAGTATGCACAGTTGCACACATGTAAACATGTGAACCAGTGCTTAAAATCACATTACTATCCATCACCAGGGTCTACGTAGATAGGGCCCCACAAGAACTTAAATACAACACTACAGAAAATTTTAACGCACCAATGTTGTATTTACATGGAAGGAAATGAGGAACTCTTGACTAAAGAAATTTTGTGTGGACTAGACATCAAGTACTTGTAGTGATCATATATTTATCATCTAAACTTCAAAAAGAATTCTCACACATGAAATATGACTATACACAATACAACACAAACCAAAAGCCCAAAGCTAAAGCTGCATTCAAATACAGCACATGCTAAATCTAAAAATTTCTGGTAGGCAAAAAATAGGTGTAAAGGGATATAATTTCATGTGTGCAACAAAAAGCCATACTTCAAAACCATTCCATTTTCAGCAATTAACCATCAGCAGATGCAATGAAATAAGTACTTGAAACGCAATATTGAGAATGACTGGGGCATCATTCAATTCTCTTTTACATGAAATCAATCACTGGGAAACAAGAGCATAACAACTACCCAGAACTTACCAGGGGGGAGGTTATTTCTATCATAAGGTTTATCATTTTTCTGGTACATTTGGTCATTAATAGGTGGCTGAGATGCCTGTGTTGGTCTGTCATCTGGGCGTTCTCTTTTTAGTCTTTGACGTCGTTCTTCACGCTCCTAATGCAAGAAGCACACAAAATCAATAGTCACCCACCACGGGTGCACATGAAAATGTTTAAATCAATATGAGCAAAATTCATGTGACAAAATCTACGTACTCATTAATGTATGTGTGCACATCGGAGAGAGAGAGAGAGAGAGTCTTAATCCTACCATTAGGAAAACCATTAATAGGAAATGCATAAGATAAGGCTTTGTTTGAAGCATCATGAACTATATTACAAGGACTCAGGTACGTTTCAGGTATCAGCATGTCGTCAAGTGTCAGATTCGTCTAATTGTTATGTCCAAGGACACTGGGACACGGCTACACTTCATTTTTTTCAACTAATTCTTACTTTCTTTTGAGGGTAAAATGATGTTTTTAAACTAAATAGAGCATTTTATGCATAAAACCGAAGTCTTGTACATGGTTATATAGTAAATCCAACTACATATACATGCCATAGGAAGTGAAAATGAAGTACCCGACGAAAAATTTCAACTGCAGACTCTATGTGTTCTTCATGTCCTATTATATGTTCTGGAGCAGTGTCTTCTTGTAAGTGTGGCTCAAAATTCTCTTCATCTTCTTCTGGCTGCGGTGAGGCATTTAAGTCCATGCCAGCAATCGTTTAACATACATCAAGCAACATTCGCCAGTGCTTTTTTGGGCTCTTTATTGTAGTAATATCAACAACGCTATCTAATTTGTTACACAATCAAATCAAAAAAATAAATTGGTTAATACATATATCATGCTTGAGAACCTGACAACACCGACAACTTTCTATAATTGAACACAGAAGTACACTAAGCAATCAAATAACTGAAAATGCAAATTTTAGGACTCAACAAATGTAGAGTGCTCTGGGTAAATTGTAAATCAGATCAAAAGCGAGCCCCCTGTGAACTAATTAAGAACACCATATCACAAGCAAACTGAAGCAACTTATGGTTAACTAAAATTTCAAATCGCACGTAATCCCGTAAAATTGGAAAACAATACACAACCAACCAAACAGTTCCATTAGCCTCAATTCAGCTAAAATTCATGGTTTCTCGGGTCGAAATCAGTGAAGACCTAACAAACATAACTTAATTTTACTTATTTTCCTTCATTTTCTTATCAGCCAAACAACGTAAAGAGAAGTTTAAACCCTAGTGTGTGCTAGTTCTTGCAATCCACCAACTTCAATGTAGAAATCAACATGTAGAATCATGAAAAATACAGAGAAGAAAGTGTGAATAAGAGTTCAAACCTCAATGGACAATGCAATCGACGACGAAAACTCGCAGCTTCAACATGCGTGCCCGAGTAGAAGGTAAAAGTTTGATGCTTTTCAGCAACAAGAAGTGATGAAATATGTATGTATATACAGAGATATATACGTATTATCGCTTCGACAGTGGGATTCCAACGTCAAACCCTAGAGAGAGAGAGAGAAATGAAATAGATTCGTTCGTTTGTTTGTTTGTCAAAATCCATGACGATGACTGGTCATATGAGAATCGGAGTTGGAGAAGAGCTAACACAAACAGATTCCAACTTATTAATGAATCAAATTTATATATGAAGTAAAAATGAGACATACATTTACATATTTATAGACAAATACAAATTGCCCCGTGGCGGAGGTCAGGACAAGGCCGAGTCACAGTCTACTAGTAGAACTTAACACTGAAATAACTATCTGTGAGTTTTGGTGAGATGATGGTAAGTACTAGGGTCCTATAAAATGTATATGCATATTTATATTTTTATTGATTTTTTAAAAAATTTTAATTAACTTTTTAAAATTTTTAGATTTAGTTAAGGGATATTTAATTTAGCATCCCTTTCTAATTTTTAGTAATGAAAAAGATTTATAGGGCTTGTTTGATTTGTTTTTGAGAGAGTTGTTTTTGAAAAAAAATTTGGAGAGAGAATTTAAAAAAAAAATTGATTTGTTTGATTGTATATTTTGGGAGAGTTTTTTTTTGAGAGTTTGGGATGATTTGATATTTTTAGAGAATTTGAGTAGATGTGTGTGAGAGAAAAAGTAATTGAGAAGGAGAGAAGAGAGAGAAAAAGTGATTGATTTATGTATAAGAGAGAGAAAGTGATTTTGAAAATTTTTTGAGAAAAATTCAAACCAAACAATTTTTAGAAATTTTTTTCTAAAACTCATCTCCCAAATGCAAACCAAACATACCCATAATTTATTTTTATTTTTTTGTAACCTAAGGTTTCTCACTCATACCCATATCTTACACCCACTATCTCATTCTCTCTCGTTTTTCATAAATGCTGGATTGATTCTGGTGCTACGAAACGAAATCTGGAAAAGAATTGAAAGAGATTTTGAGTTCTTCCTCGTGTAAGAGACTTAGATGGAAAACACTCTTCAATTAGTTGACCTTGCTCGAGATTGAACCTGATTACGCAAAAAGTAATGACTCATCGATTCAATGACTTTTAATCGATCTTCAAACTAGGTAGCTCATGCTTCACAAAGAAGGATAGTGACCTACTCATTTCAAAGTAAACCCAAACCTAAAATTGATTTTGATTGAATGAGTGAACCCATTTTAACAGTTTTCAATTCCTCTCTAAAATTTGAAAAATAAGTAGTTCTCATTTGAAACAATTTGTGCTTCCAATTGCAAAGGAAATCGAGAAATCAAGAGGAATCAAGAGGAATGCAGTAGGTGTCAAGACGATTATAGATTGGATTAAAGAGGAGTTTCATAAGTTTAAACAATCAAAAGTTTGAAAATCAAAGTTAGGCCAGTTTATCTTCGTTCAATTTTATAGTTCAATTTTCTCTGATTTAGTCAAAACATAAAGAAATTTATGAGCAAATCAGAGAAAATTGATCAAAACACAAAGAAATTTGTGAATAAATTAGAGAAATTTCAACCCAAATAAAATTTAAAAAACAAAGAAAATCAGAGAATTTAAGCAAACCAGAGAAATTTCAAATCGGAGAAAAATTTTTCTGGTTTGAAATTTCTCTGGATCAAAATTTCTTTATATCAATTTTTTTTTTAAAATGTTTAGGGACCCCAACCACTATAAAAATATTGCATGTCATTTATCTTATAAAATCTTAAGATGAAGGACCTTAAAAAAAATCTCCTTTACTTAATCTTAATATACTTAAAAAAAAAATTTTGTACGAAATCTTTTAAAAAAATGCATTGAATACAACAAAATATGAAAATGTATTAAATTTCTGTATTTTTCTTTATATTTTTTGTATTTGGTAAAATTTCTTTATTTTTTTTTTACAAACATTATACTTTTTAAGCGTATTTAGATTAGGTATATCTAAAAACTAAAAAAAAAAAAATTGCATAAAATATTTTAAAATGGGTTTATTATACATTCTACCCCTAAACTATCGCCAAATTGTCCATTTAGTCATTGAACTATCGATTGAGTCTACTGAGTCCCTAAAGTATATAAATCAAAATCTATTTAGTCCCTAAACTATCGATTGAATTTTTTAAGTTCCTAAAACATTTAATTCAAACATATTTAATTGTAAATGCCCATAAATGTTATAATTAGTAGTATAAAACCCTATAATATTGATGAATTTTTCTCATATAATTTTATTAGTAAAACTGAGAAATCAGACTTTAACACTAATTTAAACACAGGGAATTTTTTTTAAGGTCCCTCGTATTAAGATTTTACAGCATAAAGGAAACTCAATATTTTCATAATGTCTAAGGTCCCTCAAGTTAGTCTAGAGAAAATTAGTCCAGAGAAATTTTGTCCAGAGAAATTCTGGACTTCCAAAGAATTTCTTTGGGTTAAACCTAGAGAAAATTCAAATTTCTCTGGGTTTAGTTTGACCAATTTTCAAACCAAAGAAAATTGATAAATTCTGGACTTCTCAAGCCTAGAGAAAATTGACTTCACCAATTTTACTCAATTAAAGGCAGAGAAAATTAAAAAAATTTCTCTGCCCTCCCTGCCTCGCACAACACCAGATGCTTATTTTAACAAAACGAGCTCATTCCTTGTTTTCCATAAAATCCACAAGATCGCCATGGGCATTGCTTCCCAAATTAATTTCTTCACCTGTTTGAATTTGCAACGTTACCACCATGGGTTAAACCTAGAGAAAATTCAAATTTCTCTGGGTTTAGTTTGACCAATTTTCAAACCAAAGAAAATTGATAAATTCTGGACTTCTCAAGCCTAGAGAAAATTGACTTCACCAATTTTACTCAATTAAAGGCAGAGAAAATTAAAAAAATTTCTCTGCCCTCCCTGCCTCGCACAACACCAGATGCTTATTTTAACAAAACCAGCTCATTCCTTGTTTTCCATAAAATCCACAAGATCGCCATGGGCATTGCTTCCCAAATTTATTTCATCACCTGTTTGAATTTGCAACGTTACCACCATGGGTTTGTTTACATGGTCCAGAGAAATTCTTTGGTTTAGACTGAATTTTCTTTGGTTTGAACTGAATTTTCTCTGGGTTGGTCTAGAGAAATTCTCTGGTTTGGTTGGTCTGAATTTTCTCTGGGTTAGTTCAGAGAAATTTCTAGTCTGGATTGAATTTTCTCTGGATTGGTTCATAGAAATTCTCTGGTTTGAATTGAATTTTCTCTAGGTTGGTCCAGAGAAATTCTCTGGTTTGGTCCATAGGAGAAATTTGAACAACCAAAGATATATACTTATCAAAATATATAATCATACACTACATCAGTTTATACACACACACATACAAGTGTATATATATACACACATACAAATGTATATATATATACACTCCGACGACAACCCATCTGAGATTGCAAACAGAATTTAACTTTTTTAAAGCCCTAATTGTTTTCCCATATATTCAATGAAATTTGAGAAGCTGATGCATACTTACCTTGATTGAATTACCCATGAGATTTGTGATGATTTGCCGAAATCTACCTGGATCTCCAATCAGCATCTTGGGAACTTTATCAGAGATGTAAACTGCAAGTTGCTCAACTAATTAAATTAGATATGAGACCATACAGATTGAGGTTGTCAGTTTTCCACAGGGTCAGAGTCTGGTTGCGAAGGAGCTTGAAGGACTTCTTGGTGTGCTCTCTGAGGCCGTAGAGGGAGGAGCGGTGGGAAGGGAGACAAGATGAGAGTTGCAGGTACTGATCCTTAAAAATAAGAAATGTGCCAGAATCGGAGGCATCCGGCGAGGTGTCAAAGAGTATGTCGCCGAAGGAGAGGCGGGAGACGGTGAATCCGAAGGGAGTGGTGTTGTGGAGAGTGAAAATGAGGTCTAAGCTGGGTTGCCAGATACAATGCTGCTGGTATTCTGTCTGGGAGGAGAAGCAGTGATCGGAGCTGCTGCTGCTGCTGCGGGGGGAGGATTTGCTGGGGGATCTCCCATATCTGCTACTTTGCGTCTGTAATTCGAATCCTCAGACGATCGTTTGTCCCAGCTGCCATTGATGGGGGAGAGAGAGAGAGTGTGAGAAGAGAGAGACCAAACTTAGTGGAGGTGAAGTGATGAGGTCGGGGGGGAGAGAGAGATATGGGAATTTCTCTGTGATATATGAGTGTGGGAGTTGAGGGACTTTAGACTAAAATAAAATTGTGGATCTCTTTCATTACTAAATATGAGAGAGGGACCTTAGACTAATTTTCCCTTTAAACACACAATGAAATAAAACACTTCTAAAAAAAATTACGATTTTCTGTAATAAAATTTTAATTAGGTAAGATCTTTTACTAATTTATCTTACTTATGGGCATATCTTTTATTTTTATAATATTTTCAGGGACTAAATATGTTTGAAGTAAATACTTTAGGGACATCATAAAAATAATCGATAGTTTAGGAACCAAATAGATTTTGATTTATATATTTTAGGAACTGAGTAAACTCAATCAATAGGTTAGGGACTAAGTAGACAATTTAACGATAGTTTAGGGATAGAAAATATAATTAACCCTTTAAAAATTACTAAAAACTAAAAATACGACAAACAAAAAATAAAAAACTCAATTTTTTAAAAAAGTAGACGCAATTTTTTGAAACCAAACATAATGAATATTTATATATTTATATTTTGTGTCTTTTATAATAGAAAATTAGTTGACTTTTTTCAAGTTTAAGTCCGAATTCAATTGTCAATTTGTCGTGTTCGAACTTGTGGGGCTCACAATGGTCCCATTTTAATAATTTTAAATGGTCATTCTGTGATATATTTTGCATATATTATTAATGAAAAATTAAATCATATGATAATTATAACTTTTATTAATTTATCGTATTTTTTTTTTCATAGTCACACTTGTATATATATATATATTTTAAAATTTATGGATGATAAACGAGGATCCTACAAAAACATGACATTTTAAATTTGGATTTTAACTTCATAAAAATCTATACAAATAGAAAAATGCTTGGGAGCACTAAAAAAGGAGTACTAAGGGGAGCACATGTAGCAGTGGGCCCCGCCCACTTTCTATGTCTTGTTTTCTTTTTTTTTTTTTGCTATTTCTAATGTATTAGTGCTATTAATAGTATATTTTTTAGTGGTCTAAATCATTGTTGATACAAATAAAATGAGAACGACCATGTAAGCGTGGGGAATAACATGCGTTATGAAGACTCGCGGACAAGATAGGATAGGCGAGGCAATATGATCAATTGAGTGGGGCGTGAGAGAGGGCTTGAAAGCTTCTATTTTCGCATATCAAATTTCTTTAATTTACAAGTTGAATTGTTTTTAAATAAATGGCAAATTACATTAACGGTCTCTAAAATTTGAGACTTGTGTCACTTTGATTCCTGACTTTTCAATTGTGACACATTTGATCCAAAATTTTGAATCTTGTTCCAAATAAGAACAATTGAATATACTATTGCTTAATTTCACGGACAAAATCATCAATTTGATAAAATATAAACTAATTTGATAAAAATAAATATCAAAAAAATATTTTTAAATATTTAAAAATTATTTCTACCCACTACAAATAAAATTGATAAATTTGTTAGACATTTATATATTTATTTATATCAAATTAATTTTTACTATGTGTTTGGATGATGATCATGTAATGGGTAGTTTTTATTTTCATTAAATTAGTTTATATTTTTTCAAAAGTCAAATATGGCGACAACTTTAATATCATTATTAAACTAATCCATTAAATTAAAAATTCAAAACTAAAAACATTTTATATATTAATTACACATTATAATCTTAACAACCACCCATTACATGGTCATCATCCAAACACATAATAAAAATTAATTTTGTAAAATAAATAAATAAATAAATGTGTAAAAAATTTATCAATTTTACATGATTTTATCTTTGATGGTTAGAAATAATTTTTAAAAATTTTTAAAATATTTTTTTGACATTTATTTTTGTCAAATTAGTTTATATTTTGAGTACTGCTATTAGCACCTGCCAAAATTCTTTAGACCCCCCATTTTATAATTTTTTTTTATCACAATTATACCTTAAAGTAAAATTACATTAAAAAACATTATTAAATGGAACACCCACCTATCAAATAAGAACTAATACTCTATAATATTGGACCCCCACCCCCACCTCCAATTCCAACTATACGTATTCCATATTTGTAAACTCTAAATCTATTACTTTTCATAACCAACCACCATAAACCCTAAATCTATTATTTTTCATAATCATCTTAAATCCTGAATTTGTCATCTTCATCACCATCATCAACCCTATCAAACTTGAAAGTTTTGCTTCAAGTATAACGTATACTTCATCACTTATTTCACTATGTAAAGCAATGGAGGACGATGACAACAATTCTGGTGAGACCGGCGTTTCATTGGTAAGTTTATCTGTCTTGTATTAACATTATCGGTCATTTTCAGTCGTTCTTGTTTTGTTCGAGCTGTTCGGTACTGGTTTGCCGACTGTTAGGATTATGTTCGGTAATACAGTACTGAACATAATCCTTTCGTTCAATATATAGGTTCTGAACATTAATGCAGATAGTCAGTACTGTTAAACCGAATATTATCTTTATTTTTGGCACTGTTGAACTGAACAAAACCATTAGTTTCGGGACTGTTGAAATGAACATCATTTTTTCAATTTTGAAATTATATTTACACGTGTTTTCAGGGTGATGCTTCGACTAGAGGCAGTAAGGTTGATTCAGAACTTGTAATGGATTATAGTAATGAATTTGTTACTCATGAGGTGAGTCTTTGATTGTTTTACAAATAATGTACCTTTTTATGTGCAATAATTGGTTAGTTTAATTTATTTATTTCAAATATTCAAGAATCGAGATGAGTGAATTCGATGGGCACGTCAAGTCGGAAGAAAAAATAGATTCATTATTGTCATGCAGAAATCAGATGAGGGTGGTATTCGTGGTAGGAAGCGAAGACTTAGCTTAGCTTGTGAGAGGAGTGGATTTTATAGGGACACTCGAAAAAATAGCAGGCCTAAGACAAGAAAAAGCAAGACTGACTGGTACAAAAAAATGTGAATGTTCTTTTTTATTGAAGGGCAAAAAATTAGCCATAAATGATGATTGGATCTTGATAGTTGTTTGTGGTGTGCATAATCATCCTGCTGTAGAATATCTTAAGGGTCATTCTTATGCTGGAAGGTTATCACATGAGAAAACCTTTTTGTTGGTAGACATGTCGAAGAGTATGGTACGACTGAGTGAGATATTGGTTACATTGAAACAACATGATGATGCAAATGCTTCCACAATGAAGACAATTTACAATACACATCATAGGTATAAAGTTGCTGAGAAAGACGGGAGATCTCAAATGCAACAATTATTAGGTCAATTAGCGGTGAATAAGTACATTGAGTGGCATAGGAGCTGTGCAGATACTGAGACAGTGACTGATTTGTTCTTTGCACATCCTACTAGTTTGAATTTGTTACATGCATTTTCAAAAGTATTGTTGATGGATTGTGCTTTTAAGACCAATCGATATCAGTTGCCCTTTCTGGAGATTATAGGTGTGACATCGACAGACATGACATTTTCAGTTGCATTTGCATACCTCCAGTATGAGAAGAAGGATAACTGCACATGGGCACTTGGTATTTTGCGTAGTGTTATGGATGAAAATAGATAGAGAATTAGCCCTTATGAATGTTATATGTACGGTGTTTCCTGAAACTACAAATTTGTTTTGTAGATGGCAAATTGGAAAAAATGTGCTTGCTAATTGCAAAAAGATGTTTGAGACAAAGGATAAATGTGAAATGTTTATAACGAGTTAGAATGTGTTGGTTATGTCATTGTATGAAGAAGTATACATGCAACGACTGTCTTTGTTATATAGTGAGTCCAGTACTTATCAAGATGCACTTCATTATGTTACCTCATCTTGGTTGGATATATACAAGTCAAAATTTGTGGCTGCTTGGACTGACACATTTATGCACTTTGGAAATTCTACAACAAATAGGTAAATACGAACATTTAAATTTATTAGTTGTTTAGTTTTTTATAACATTATTTTTATAACAGTTTATTTTCATATATAGGGTTGAGAGTTCACATGCAAAACTTAAAAGATATCTTGGATCAAGTCAAGGAAATTTTGAGTCGAATTGGACAAGGATACACAATTTACTTGAGTTGCAACATAGTGAAATAAAATCATCATTTGAGACAAGCAAGATAGTTGTGCAACATGATTTCAAACCTGCGCAGTTTAAGGAGCTTCGTGGTAATATCTCAATTTCTGCATTAGAGATCATATTGGTAGAGTCTAAACGAGCATCTTCTGTTGGTATTGATATTACTGCATGTGAATGTGTCGTTCGACGTACTCGTGGTTTGCCATGTGCACATGAGATAGCAAATTACATGAGGGAAAATAGGCCAATTCCCCTTCACTTCAGTTTATTCATATTGGACTAAGCTTGATATGTTGAGTACCCCACACACTGTAAGTGAAGAGTGGACTTGTACACCTAAGTTAGAATTGTTTGCCAAATGATTCGAGGAGGTGGATCCAGATGTGAAGAGGTTTTTGTAACAGAAATTGAGAGAGTTAGCCAAACCTGATTGTACATTTTTGATTGATTCGGAAGTGAAGTCTAATCCTCGGGGTTGGCCAAAATTGAAGATTGAGGCCTCCACTCGTCCTGAGCCATCTGCATTTGAAATAGTTGCTTCAGCACAAGATAGTTATTCACCCAGAGTCATTGCCAAGGCGAGTGTAACAACAAAAGAAGGTGAAAACAAAGAAGACAGAAAATGTACATGGTTTACTAGTGAGGTATGTAATTGTGTCATGTTGTCTACTTTATTGTCTAACATTGGCATTGGCCTGTGATAGGTTCACTGGCTTCGATCATTGAATCCAAATTGCTTTTTAAAGGCATTCCCTTCTGAATTGAGACGATATATTAAATACGTTAAGGATGTTGTAGTATATGGCAATTGTGGGTTTTGAGCTATTGCTGGTTTGATGGGTTTTGGAGAAGAAGGATGGTTACAAGTGAGAAAATATTTACTTAAAGAGTTGCATGCGCATAGTGACCACTACAGGAAATTATTTGGATCACAAAAGAGAATCGATGACCTTACCAACATCTTAGCATATTTTGAACCGGTGAATGACGATGCTTGACATAGGTCATCTTATATCGTCTTTCTACCAAGTCGTATTGGTTCACTTGTCTATGCAACAATGTTTAACATTCCTCCTTCTTAGGTCAATACCGACGTCTGTTACCTCTCGCAAGGAGATATGTATTGGCTTTGTCAACAACAACCATTTTGTTCAAGTATTGGTTTCTAATATTTTTGTACATTCTAATATTTTTGTACATTCTTGTACATTATAACGAAAAATTTCTTAATAACGATAACATTTTTGTTCGGACATACAGTGTTGACAAGATCATTATTGTTCGACAAAACAGTTCTGAACAAAATACATTTGTTCGGCTATACAGTGCTGAACGAATTGTTTTTATTCGGTTCTATAGTGCTGAAATGAGTAGGCCAGCAACTGTGATTGGGTCAGCAAGCATTTATGTTCGACACTATAGTACTAAAAAACCATATCTGTTCGGTATTACTGTGCTAAACGAAGACTACCTATTCAGCATTACAGTGTTGAGTGAGTCATTTTGATTCGGTTTTACAGTGCTAAATGAGGAGGATTTATTTGGTTAGTCAGTGATGAACATAAAACTCATGTTTACTCATTAGACCAGATTTGTTTTATTCAGTGATGACCATAAAGCAATAAACAAACCAATATTTCAAACAAACAAATTATCAAATCAATTCAAACCATCAAACCAATTCTAAACAAATTCATTGACTTCAATATCATTGCTAAACCATCAAAATAATTCATTGAGTGCCCAAAAAGGTATGGTAAAGTTATATACAAGCCTAGCTCATACTTGTGTCATATACAAATCACTATCAAAATGTATGCCTATAGCTCGACTTTTTCGTGCCCCCCTGCGGTTCTGAATTTGATTTCACAAGTGTAATGTGAAATAGATAAATACCAAGGAGTCCAAATCCAGCAAATCTTTTGAAAAATTGATTTTGAATCAAATTGCTAAAAATGGGCTGCTTTGCCAGATACAGAGTCGCCATCTAAATATTTTTGGGAAATCTAGGAAACCCATGACTCGTACCAAAGGCCACATGTTCGTCATCACCAAGATTGTCTCAGCTTGGGAACTTAGGTATGAGTGGGGAAGGTCATGAATGAATTGAGCACCCCCGTTCGCCTGATCAAAGATCGACCTCTACTAGTCATTATATGAATCTTATGTACATTATATGCTCTTATTCCAGTTATTAGGCTAGCATTACTATATGATGTGCACACACACAAGTATAGACTAATTTTGCAAGAATTGGAACATTTGATTTATGTTTGTTTTGAAAATCATTTTGAAATATGTGCCACTTGAAAAAGTGATTGCATACGAACATTGCTCAAATTATTCCAATTCAAGCAATTGGCCTTCATCCACAAGCATTCAAGCAGTTATAGCAATTAAGCACTTAGCTTCTTGGCAAGCATACTAAACATGGCAGCAATCACATACATGTAATATGCTAAAGCGAGTAAAGGCTCACCTAGTACTCCAAGCCAAAAAGAAGATAAAGTTAGAAAGGTGCATGATCCTAACTTATGCAATATAACTAATGCAACACATACAATATGAAATTAATAGGCTCGGCTACTAATATGGCATATGAATCAATTAAATAGCATACGGTCTAAGCACGTATTGAAAGAAATATTTAAACTAACAATGCAAGTTAGAATAATGAACCGAGCCTCGGTGCATGAAATACAAGGGGATGCAAACATGAAGCATGCTAAACGAAACATAATGTCCCTAAACTAACCATCATAAGCTAGTAAATAAAAGGGACAAAGACATGGGATTGGAAGACATAAACATTATTAAAACATTGCATTCTCACGAAGGAAAGTCCAAATGAACTAACTAGCTAACTAATTAAAGATAAGCTAATTATTAAATTAAATTAGCTAAACTACCTAACTAATTATTACAAACCGAAGTAATTAATTGTTCTAGCTAACTAATTATCACAAAATGAAATCGAATAACTAGTTAACTAACTAATTAATTACAACACTTTACAAAATTAATTAGCTACAACTAATTAATTACAACAAATATCTAAGCTAAATATTTAAACTTAAACATGCTCGGTATGTGAGGAATGCTTATGCACGGACTCGGTTTCCACCCGAAAAGGCCATTGTTTTGCTTTTAGAAGGTCTCTGTTGCACAGGATAACGCTTACACTTTTGTCCACCTCCAGAATGGCTCTGCTCTACTTAAAAAACACACTGCTGAATTTTACATCAGTGGCTGGTCGGCCAGTAGTGAGGACCTGTCGGCCATCAGTGATAGCCGGCCGGCCATCAAAGGTGGCCTGCCAGCCACTGCTGCCTAGTTCATCTTGATACAACAAAGAACAAACAGAGCATGCACAGGGTATTCTCAAGGGTTATCTGTACAACTCACCTTTCCTTATCATGAACAAATCAAAGGAGAGACAAAACTTGGTCCATAAACCATCAACTCAAGCAATTTCATTGCATGATAGCTTATGAACCAAAGTATGCAATTTCAATAAATGCAACAAAATAAGACTCAAACCTCCTCCATTTCATGAATTGATCAAGGGAAGTGGTGACCTTGGAAACTTGAATCATTTCATCACTAATGAGTATGAAATGCCTCAAGCTTCCATGTGTTCAATTAACGTCCGATTGAACACAACACTTTTTATTATCTTGCACCATTTTATTCACCAATTTGATCACTCCATTTTAGATTACTATCCATTCTTTAATTCATTGAGTCTAATGATGAGTTTAAGTCCTCTAATGGAAAGAAGGCTCAAACCAAGAGTTGTTTTAAACATGAGAGAAGCTTCATGTCATTGGTAATGAACCCCAAAATGATTAAACCATTAAGCACAAGACCTCAATCTCATGCTTTAAACAAGCAAGTAGCTTGAAGCAACTTTCAAAGAAAATCAAAAGCCAAGAAAGGAGGGAGGTTGCAAAGGTGATTAAGAGTGATCATAAGTATCGAAAGTCATAAATAAATGCAATCAACTCAAATAAGATGATGTCTAAGCCCTAGAACACCAAACTCATGAGGACAATTACACTACAAGCATGCAAAACAAAGCTCAAATGCAACTATCAATAAAAAATAGTGCTAAAACAGTCTAAAAACAGTCCTAAAACATGCTGAAATTAAGCTAAAAAAAGTTAGATTAATATACTAAAACATATCACACGCTAGGCTAGTAAGCAAGACACAAGGAGGGGAGGCTAACCCCTCCAAATTTGGACCTCAAAATATGATTTTAGCCATTGAAATAACTTTGAAAACAGTGTTAAAAAGCTCAAAAAGAGTTGACAACAAAGTGGGAAACACAAGGGCAAAGGCCTTAGAAGCAAGGTGTAAAGAAGGGCTATCAACCCCTCTACCTTTAATGGCCTTAAACCACAAGTTTCATCCCAAAAATACAAGTTTTAAACAATCCAAAACATAGTAGAAAAAATGAAAAACAAGTGGTGTAAAGATGGTACAA